AACAGAGTACTTTTCTATCACGGTTAGTTAGCCCGCTAAGTCTCCTGTAAGTATTTTGTGGTGTTTGATAATTCTATTTTCATATTTTAATAATTAATTTAGAATTTTTTCTAACTTATAAATGAAGGATAATCTTAAAATCTCAACACAAATATCATTGGTTGAAATATTGCGCATTGAATTGAAGTGTTCAATGACAACATAAGAACATTGGTACCATACATTTCAAGAAAAATAAACTTGACAAACACCGATACCAATTATCTCGACAGTCTATGCTAAAATTCGAATTTGTTTAATCATTAAATTTGAGTGATAGTTTAGTCAAAGCAAGCAAATAATTCACGATTGTGTATGAACAAAAATAAAAATATATGTATTGTACTATGAAAAATGTATTTATTTTAACAATCTAAAAAACAATCAAGACTTCCATATACAACCCCTTATTTCAGCATTGTAATTAATGAAACAATTTTTATCAACATGATGTAATGTTCAAGCTAAGGTCCAATTATTAATCACCAGTATATAGTATTCAACTTAGTAAACTATTTCAGTATCCACAGGTAACTATTAATGATTATTTGCTTTCTGTTTGAAGGTTTAATGTAACACTCTCATGCCTACACTCTAAGCATTTTTTTTTTCTTTTTCCAATATTTTTTGCAGTTATTTGTTAAATCAACTATGTTTCTAGCTTTCCATTCCTAATTATTCACTGCTTCCTACCAACTTATGGGAATGATGAATATTTTTTCATGTATAATCTATTGACTATGAATGTTGCTTATTACTTAAATTCAACGGTATCCATGTTAAGTTTGTTGTCTCCAACATACTCTCACAATTTCTCGAAAAAGCATCATATCTTGCGATTGATATAATAGTTTTGTTAGGTAAAGCTCAACAAACTCAATCAATATTCGAACTCTTTGAAGTAGCTATCTACATGTGAATATGAAGTACTGAGTAGCTAAAACTCTACTTGAGTTAGTACGCTCTTTTGTGCTATCAATTAAAATTTAATACATGATTATCTTATTGCAATTTAGTCATACTAATTGTGCAGTAGGGGACATCTTATCAAAATCGTATCGAAAGACTCATTGATTGATCAGTTTCAGGATGTAATCAATTATACCAAATAGAAGTGATCAAATTTATAAGATGCTCTCAAAGTTTGCTATAATTATTGAGGATCAACAACACGTTAATCGTAAGGTGGTCATTGGGCATTTGTCTATCTCCTAGCTCGCCTAGACACGCTTAGACGTTGTAATAAAAATAGTAATTTTTAATAATGATGAATGAAGTAATAGTTCTGAAGCACTTTCATACTTCAGTTCAAATGATTTAACAACAAGCAAAATAACTCTCAAGTTTATAATTTTTTTTATACCAAATGGTATAATTAATTGATTTATGAGCTGAAATAGCTAATTATAAGCACTTAAATTTTTAAGTTAAAAATCATATGATATAATTGTTTGAAAAAATGGTTTTTATCATAGAGTGTTCTATCCAGAGAGGTCTCTAAGAAACATGGCTTACTTTATTATTCCTTAGGTAGATATAATATATATCTTCATCGTTACTTTTACATTGGATTCAATTTAGTATGCTTTTTCGTTTAGATAGATTTTTTAAATGATTTTTTGGGATATAATATATCATTATTGTATGATGGTGTAGGATATTAGTTCCTCTCATTTTAGTTTCAAATTGATGCATTTTCCCCTTTATCGTTCCCTTTTATCAGTTAATAATTTTTATGATATTTTTCACTATGAAATATCGTGAGCATAATCTATACACAACAATTTGTTTTTTTTTCGTTTCCTCTTCTTTTGATTAGATATTGTGTCCATATTGATTCTTATATTGATTATTGAATTACTACTTTTTTGTTCTGAAGTTTATGAAACCAAGATGCATTTTTTCGAGAAACATGAATCTAAGATGCATATTGTTAAAGAATCTAAGGTGTCATCTTCCCTCTTAAGGCTTAAGCATTACATATCATTGTTTACCTACTGTTAAATCAAAGTCTTTCTAACTTGAGTACAAGCTACAGTGACTTTTATTGTTGTCGATTTTTCCCAAAATATTAGGTATGTTGCTTTTAGTTTTCGCATTCTTTTCAGTTTGATTTAGCTTTTTATGTGTTGCTCTATTAGTTGAACTTGCCAGTTGGAGATCTGCATGCTTCGACTACATTAATGTCACAATGACTTCTATATGAAATGTCACTCGAAACATGAGTGTGTGATTTAGCTTGTTTCTTATTAAGGACACTTTAAACATATACTTTGTTCCATTATATCATTGAATACACTAAAGTAAATGGAAAAGTCGAAACATTTTATCGTATACTGAAGATTGATTATGCATGTATGATGTAAAACAACTCTTACCATTGTTCTTCTTAGACATTTTTATATCAATAGGATTTCGTTTGAAAATATGTATTTATGTTAGTGTAGTTGGACGTTGTTCGTCATTTTTAAAACTTCATTAGTCAAATACATCAAATACTTTTCTATATTATTATGGAGAACTTACCAAACTAAATAGTTACTTCAAACTCCAACAACATGAACCATAACAAAAATATATACCTACACTTATACATGACAACATGAAAATCAAACTCTCTCGGCCAAGAGGTCGGGCCATAATCTAATTTAACTTTTAATGTTCAACGGGCAACACATTGATCGACAGAGTGTCGTCTGATCTATAGTTTTATGAAATTTTGAGGGAAATTTATTTTAATTAATTGGAAAAACAAAATTTTAAGAAAAAATTTATTTCAATTAATTGGAAAAGATTAAGAAAAAAACTTATGCGCATGTGTCACTAATGTGACACCTACGTGACCTCCACATCATCAAAAAAGTCAAACATGTTTGACTATTGTTCGATTAACCATTAATTTTAACGATCAAAGAAAAACATGACGACATAAATGAAAACACGTATATATATTTTAGAGAATGCATAGTTTTTTGTTGCAAAATGAAACACATTGAATGTATCTGATTGTTGATGTGACATTTGAAATTATTCAAAATGAATGATTTAGAATGTCAACTATTTGGTGAGATTGTTGAGATTGTGTTTTGACATTGTGAATCAACTTTTCTTCTCTTTTATGCCCTCATCAACTTTTATATGTGGTTGACTTTTGTATCTAAAAGGAAGGGTAAATGTGTTTTTTCATTAATAAATTGGTTTTCCTGCTATATTCTTAAAAATATAATCACAACTATCAAACATTGTAATCTTAAAATGTAACCATTTAACCAATACATCAATTTTAACAATGCATGCATTTATATAATACATCAATTCTAACAATCGTAAATACCAAAAGCATAATTTGGAACAAGATTGTCATTTTGTGCGACACTTTTTTATTAACTTATAAAAACAATACCTGAAAAAAGGTATGACAATTTGCATAAACTTTCCGGCAACTATTGCAGGATGTTTGTACGTAAAACATTTGGTGACAAAAATTATACACGATAATCAAATAAATGGGTTTGGGTATGGTGACTGTGTGTGGTAGTTTGAATGAGTAAATTAGATGAGTTGTTCTAATCCAAATAACACACAAGGGATCGTTTAATTTGTGTGATTGTTTGGTTGTGATTGTTATAATATTTGTATGGTTTATAATTCATTGTTTTTCTGTTTTTATGCACAGACAATACATGTAATGTTTACTTGATGTGATATGTACAATCATCCATTACGAATAATTGTACAATATCAACTAAAAGCTGAGATTGTTTGGATTGTTTAGTTGAGATTATTTTCTTCCAATTTTAATTTTTAGAAATTATCTTTTGCATTGAAAAGAAGGAGCACAAGTGACATTTCCATTAAAAAGTGGCTTTCTTTTTACCTATTGAAAACATAAATACATATATCAAATGTTGTAATCTACAATACATCAAATTCAAAAAACATATATAATATTAATACATGTATTTATGACAATACACTGATTTAACAATCGGAGAAACCAAACGATTGTTTGGACCAAAATAATTTGTTTGGATAGATAAAGTTGAACTGTGGAAAATAACTCATTGGTGGACCTCTAGTAAACTTTAATTGTCACACATGTTATATGTCTAAACTTATAGGGGTCATTTGAATGGGTTATTGTGTAATGAGTTATTATAAGGATGAAACAACTCACAAAATGGTACAAATATGGGTTAATTGTATGGTTGGTCACTGAGATTACAAATAACGTTCAAGTTTGGTCACTCGAAATATTTAAATTCATTGATGGTACTTCAGTTTACGCAAACCGTTCACGTTTGGTCACTCTCCGTCCAACTCCGTTAACTTTGGCTGATGTGGCAGTCAACTCTCAAAGTTAACCGTTAACTTAGTGACGTGGCAACTAAAAATTATTAAAAATAAAAAAATAAATTTTAATATTTTCCACTTCATTATTACATTTTTGAAAAAATAAAAAACCTAATTTCTTTTCTACAAACTCCCATACCCTACCCGACCCAACTTCCACCGCCGCCGTGAAATCCGACCACCGTAACAACCCTAATTTCTTTTCTACATCCGCGATTTCAGCAGCAGGATCGTCTACAACAGCAACTTCGATCTCTACACCGGACCGACTTCCAATTGGAGGGACACAGTCTCTTTCAATATGGATCCCGACCCACTCAATCCCGAGCAGCTGCCGACCGTGTGTGGCGAAATCGTGGCAGAGTACTCTGAGGAAGTGGTGAAATTGGGGGATCTATTGTTCGAATTGCTGTCGGAGGCTCTGGGTCTGCGTTCGAATTCCCTTATGGCAGAGGATGTAATATCACGTCATTTATCCATCGTCTGTACTGGCAGCAGTCGCAGCAACAGATGGGGAGCAAGCTCAAAGAGTTTTTCCCGCCGACGGCGTAATTGCCCGATTAGGTGACGAATTTGGCGGGAACAAATGCCCCTCATGCGGCCACGGCATGGAATCGTCTTCCCAAGATCAGGTGAGGATTACCTTAATACCTTAGTTTCATTGTCGTCCTAATGTTGGATATAGCTGCAGTAAATCGGAGATTTGATGATTTTTTTTTTCCGACGGTGGTTTTTGAAATGAACAGGGTAGTGGTGGCGACGGAGGGATACAGAATTTGCCGGGGCTACCAGCGGGGATGAAGTTGGACCCGACTGACCAAGAGATACTGGGGCATTTGGAGTCCAAGGTGACGTCGGATTCCCGCAAAATCCATCCACTCATCGACGAGTTCATCCCCACCATCGACAGCGAGAACGGGATCTGCTACACGCACCCTGAGAAGCTACCAGGTTGTTTTCAAATATTTGTTCTGCAATTACTAATTTGATCTCAAAACTTGTATTTCTAGTCCATGCACATACGGTGTTTGTGAAAATGTGCAGGAGAGATGAGGGATGGAGGGCGGGATGGAGGGCACATAGAGTGACGTAATAAGGTTAATGGAAAAATATTAAAATTTATTTTTTTATATTTGATAATTTTTTAGTTGCCAAGTCACTAAGTTAACGTTCAACTTTGAGAGTTGACTGCCACATCAGCCAAGGTTAACAGAGTTGGATGGAGAGTGACCAAATGTGAACGGTTTGCATGAACTGAAGTACCATCAATGGATTTAAATATTTCGAATGACCAAACTTGAACATTTTTTATAATTTCAGTGACTAACCATGCAATTAACCCGTACAAATATTGTTGAACGATACTGGAATTTGGGCGGCCAATCTATGTAATAAATATGTTGTATACGCTTCTTGTGTTTATAAAGGCCGACCATACTTAGTCACTGGTTCACATAGTTCAATAGTTCAAGGCTATATATGTACCTCAATAGCAATTCATAAGTCTATATAACATGACAAATGGAGGTTCAATGGCAGGCCTACAATTTTTTAGTGACATTTTTTATTAACGACAAAAATCATCTCGTTAGTAGGCTGTAAAAATAGACCAGATCGTTAGAAATACCGTGGTTCCAATAGTTTGGTTTGGACGGTAGACCGTTAAATATGGTCTATTATGGTCAATGGTCTGTATTATTTTACGTTTTGATCTCTTGGTCTGGTCTGGTCTAGACCGCGGTTTATCAGACCAAACCGTGGACCCAACTGACTTGTCAATACTTGTTAACAACCACATTTAACCAGAGAGTAGAGATAATCATGTCTTTATATGAGATTATGTTAATGTCATGACGTTATGGTGCAAGTTGGGATGCTCTTACTTTGTATCTTTGTTATGTACTAAGATTTAGAGTATCGAAATTATTCATGCATGTTAGGACTAATGTTTTAAGGCAAATAATAATTATTTTTCTTGGTTATTGGTCCAATTTTTTGTGTGGTTGACTAAACAAATTATTCATTTTTCGTTGAGTGTGGTCTATCTGGACCAGACCAGACCGAATCAGATCGCACAGGCGTGATTTGTATCAGACCGTATAGTCTGTACTTTAATCTCTCGGTCTGGACTATAAACCGTATATATGGTCTGATCTGAACCAGACCGCACCATTTCCCAACCCTACTCGTTAGACTAAACATATAGCTAAAAGTGGGGGAAAACATAAAGGATATACGAACATGAACCTACACTTAACATGGTACCTATCCTAGGTGCATTTAATCTTGTAAATTGTAATAGTAGTAAATCTAACTTAACATGGTACCAAACTTAATATGTCCTAGTTTTCCTATAAAAAAACTTAATATGTCAACGTATGATCATTGTTGCAGAAGAACGAGCACTCATCTTTCATTATTTGACCAAGGTTGTCAAACCCGCGGTTGACCCGGACCCGGTCGAGCTAGTGGGTCAAGGGTTAATGGGTCACCCGGTTTAGTCCGGAAATATGGAAAGAGTCGTTATATTATACTAATCCCGATAAATTATATCAAATATCATCTAACATAAGAGTTATAACATATAATATTCCATCAAAATAACATGTCGTACTTAGATCCAACATATAGTGAAAATTCACACACACACACACTTATATAACATCAATATTCAAATGTTCAACTTAGGATTCCAAAAATTGAGTTAGGCGAAAAGAAAGATCGGAAAATAGACGCATTTCGCAAACCAAAGAAAAAAATGACACAATTTGACCTCCAACCCAGTACCTTGTAGCGGTCAACCTGGCGGGTGCGTGCCGTCCGTTTTACTCACCAATCCAGGGTCAAAGTGGGTCGATTCGCGGGTTGACAACCTTATTATTTCTTTCCTTAAAAAAAATTTCTCGTATAACCATCTTGGCTATATTATTAATTTGAGATTTTTTTTTTTAATTTCAGAAACTTTTATTAAAATAAGTGTCACCAACGTTAATAAATTGTGGTGGACCTCAAATGACATGAACGATGCATTCATTCATGTTTCTTCCTTTTCCCTTTCTGTCTATATGCTCACCAATTGGAACGATAATAATTTATCAAAAACGAAATTAAGTTAGGAAAATCAACGAATTAAATGTAGTTTAAAACTCCTAATTTAATTAATAATTTATGCAGGTTACAACTAAGACATCTCTTTGTCTTGTCGTGTAAGGCTCTGTTTTGGGGAGCTGCTTCAATCCCCAAAGTGCCCTTTCCCTGTTTTCACATCAGCATTTTTTATGTGTGTTTTTCTAGCTTTATTGATATCGATTAACAATTAATCATCCTTACATAGATTTACAAGTGAAATGAGAATGGATAGATACAGATTAAAAATAGAATTTTTCGAACTCCTTGTGAAATCATCTGTAAAATATTATGACAGATACATACATTGTAATTTCGAGAAATGAGATATCAAAGAAATTGACTTAAAAAAGAGGTGTCGACGTTTGTCATTATTAGCTCCTAGTGACACGTTTATTTCATTATTGAAATCGGAATAAACATGTAATTTCTTATTATACAATAAAAAATCATCTGCCAGCTTCAAATTTGCTAAAATAATTAAAGTATGCCTGATTTATAAGTTGACCATATAACAACATAGAAGTTTTCCCCTAGCGTTAGTTCCAACTGTTAATTAGATTAAAAGAGTCAATTTTTGTTCAAAATAGAAGTTCAGTCATAGACAAGTTCTACACAAATTGTCATTTGATCAAATACACACTTGTGTTATGTTTGATAAAGGATCAAGGCATAAGTGGTAGTTGTACATAATATTGGCAATGATTACGATTTACTTATTTCAACCATATCCAATTAATGATTTCTATCTTATTAACATGTCATCTACATCTTCAAACAATACACACATATTATTATAAAAAGTTGGATAAATATCGTATTTTTAAATCACAACACCTCAGGTGTTACAATTTTGAAGGAAAAAAAAACTAAAATAGAAAGCTAATTGACTCACAATACGAGGGTATATGCGTAAATAGGTAAACCTAGAAGGGGAAGTAAACTCCTCTGCTTAATCTTGAGATTAAGTAGACCATGATGACTCCTTTTCAGATAATCCGAAGCACTCCATTTGTTTGTTTGTTTTTCGAGTTTCTGAACAAAGGAAGAGAGCTTTTGTTTTGTGTGGGGACACCCCTCCCTCCCAAATCCGACCCAAGCAAAATCCAAAACCCAACAAAGCTTCGAACTTTACAGAGAGAAAAAGAAAACAAACCAACACCAGGCGGCCTGCTGCTGTGGCGAGAAACTCAAAATTCAAGAAACACAGAATCAGGGAAATTGTTCTTCTTTCCTTCGTCTTTCAAAGTGGCTTGCTTTCAGATATAGAGTGGGGAAAGAGGGAGAGAGAGGTCTGTGTACAGTTTAGGAGTCGTTGGTATTTATTCATTTGAAATTCTTTTAGAGACAGAAAGAGAGAGGGAAGGCAGGAAGGAGGGTTGTGAGGTTGCTTTCGGTTTCGGCTGGGAATTTGAAAGCTCTGCGTTGTTTCGCTTGTTGGGGGTTGCTTTTGGACCATTGGAGGAACTGGGTGTTCTCCATTGGATGAGCGTTGGAGGATTGTGTTAAGCAGGATCTGTTGCTTTGGTGTCATCGAATGGTAAATTCCAGAGCTGAAAGCTTGAACTTTTAATTTTGTCTTTCGAACTGCTGTTTTTGATTGCTCGGCTTGATTATGCTGGCGTGTGGGCTTCATTTCGTGATTTGTTCTCCACTTTCATTGTGGTGTGAAGCTTCTTCCTTGCTTTGTGGTTCTTCATTGGGTTTCTGTGCCAGCTTATTGATTTTGGTTGAATTTTTGTTGACTATGGGGGACTTGGATTCTCCCTTCCCTTATATTGCGCACTTTCCTCCTCCATATCATCCCATGAATTTATGAATTTCGAGACAAAGGGTTTAGCATCTTTATGGGATTGGATTGAGTTATTGCGAAGTAAAGAAAAACTGTGAATTTCTGGTAGCTTGTCAAGGCAGCTGTTCTTACTGCATTGTAGTCGGTTCCAGCATTAATTTTATAATCAATTTGAGAGACACAGAGATCGATCGAGCTGATTTGGTCGATTGACATTTTGGCAACTGGCTTCTTGTTCTATGGCAGTTTTTTTTCTTCTTCTGAGTGTTTTATGATGAGCTGGTTTTGGCCAATTGTAGTTTTTGGCAAGTTTAGTGTCGAGCTCTGATTGTGGAAGGCATTGGCCTTGAATATTCTTCATATTATTCGTTAGTACGAAAGGCTTGAACAAGTCGTGGTCCTTTAGCTGGTATTTCTTAGAAAAGAAGGAACCTTTTTTATTCGCAACTTGCCATTTAGGCGCCTGCTAGCCTACATTGATTGTGGACCATCCTTTCCCAGCACTTTTGTAATTTGAATGGTTACTTGGAAGACGCTGAACAAACTTTTATTTATTTATTTGCAGGCTGCACCAGACAACATAATCGTTGGTTCTCATGTGTGGATTGAAGATCCCAAGTTGGCGTGGATTGATGGTGAAGTTACAAGGATAAGTGGCAAAGATGTCCATGTTTGGACTACAAATGGGAAAACTGTAAGCTCGCCAGTTTCATTGGTCCGAACCTCCTTTGCTGGGAGAGCTGATTCTCTGGGTAATTTGAATATGGTCAATAATCAATGATTTTCTCCAGGTTGTCACGAATATGTCGCAAGTATTTCCCAAGGACACTGAAGCCCCACCTGGTGGTGTAGATGACATGACCAAGCTTTCCTATTTGCATGAACCTGGAGTTCTGCAAAATCTGGCTACCAGATATGAGCTTAATGAAATCTATGTGAGTTATAACATTACCATTCTCTTTTATTTACATCAATTGGTCAATGCAAAGAGGATGTGATATATGGGTAAAGACATTTAATGTCTGTGCTTTACTTCTCTCAGACATACACCGGCAATATCCTAATAGCTGTCAATCCGTTTCAAAGGTTGCCCCATCTGTATGATACTCACATGATGGAACAGTATAAAGGCGCTGCGTTTGGAGAGCTAAGTCCTCATGTCTTTGCAGTTGCAGATGCTGCGTACAGGTCAGGTTTCTTTCTCGTGTACTGATCTGTCTTCATAATCTATATATGGTTCTTACTGATGTCCTGAGGATGAAGAGATATAGGGCAATGGTTAAAGAAGGGAAAAGCAATTCAATCCTAGTTAGTGGTGAAAGTGGTGCCGGAAAAACCGAGACTACAAAGATGCTCATGAGATATCTTGCCTTCTTGGGAGGGCGATCTGGAGTAGAAGGAAGGACTGTTGAGCAACAAGTTCTGGAGGTAAACTTAGTTAATTTTATTTTTCGGTTGGCAAGTTTCCTTCTAAGCTAGCTATATCTTTATGAATTATGTAATGTCGGGAAGAGTGATGTTTCTGTTCTGGCATTAACTACAGTCAAATCCAGTTCTTGAAGCATTTGGTAACGCCAAAACTGTTCGCAACAACAACTCTAGGTATGCATCACCATGGATTATGGATTTCTTGAGATCAGTGTTATCGCAGAACTATTTTCTTTATATTCATTTTGATTGTGTTTCATAAATGTAGCCGTTTCGGGAAATTTGTGGAGATCCAATTTGATAAGAGCGGTAGAATATCTGGCGCTGCTATCAGAACTTATCTGCTCGAAAGATCTCGTGTGTGCCAAATTTCTGATCCAGAAAGAAACTATCATTGCTTTTATCTTCTTTGTGCGGCACCGGCTGAGGTAAAACCTTCTCTTGTACTTCTTTGTACTGGAGTTGGTCTTTGTGTTGGTAACCGAGCAGTGCATTCATATCCTGTAAAGTATTTTACAAGATTCTGTTTTCTCCCTGAAGGATAAAGAGAAATACAAATTGGGGAGCCCAAAATCTTTCCATTATCTAAATCAATCAAAGTGTTATGAGTTGGATGGGGTAAATGATGCTCATGAATATCTTGAAACTAGAAGGGCTATGGATATAGTTGGGATTGGTGAAGAAGAACAGGTTTGTTTCTAGAATCTGCTCGAGTTTCATTATGATATATCCTATTTTGTACCTTCATAAAAAAAAATCATATTTTGTAAAACCTGGTGTTCAAATTGGATGATAACAAATTGCAATGCCGTTAGGAAGCAATTTTTAGGGTTGTAGCTGCAATTCTTCATCTTGGAAACATTGAATTTGCTAAGGGAGCAGAGATTGATTCGTCAAAGATTAAAGATGATAAATCCAGATTTCATCTTGATACGACTGCAGAGCTCCTCAGGTACGGATTTCCCTTTATATTTTAATATGTAGGTACATAAAGTCAGCCTGCATCAGTCTTAACCTACCTCATGTAGGTGTGATCCAACGAACTTAGAAGATGCCCTTATTAAACGTGTGATGGTTACACCTGAAGAAATTATCACAAGAACACTTGACCCTGAGAATGCTGTCGGTAGCAGGGATGCTTTGGCCAAGACTTTATACTCTCGTCTGTTCGATTGGTGAGGAGCTCATACAAATCACATCTATTTTCCTCGTGCTTCTGATATTCTAGTTTCGCAGATTACTACCTCTTTACTATGGTTGATAATTTACTGTTACTTTTCTTCACTTACTGCCAGGATTGTAGAAAAGATAAACGTTTCAATTGGACAGGACCCAGATTCTAAATCAATAATTGGAGTTCTGGATATCTATGGTTTTGAAAGCTTTAAGTGCAACAGGTAAGTCGCTAGTATTAAGGTTGTTATTTGGTGTGGATCTTCCATAACTGATCACTGTATGTACTCTCTTCAAATATTGGAATTTTACCTGCTGTAAGGCTTTCCTTTTACCTTTTTGTATGAGATATAGTTTTGAGCTTCTGCCTTTAAATTTGTGCTTGTGAAACAGTTTTGAGCAATTCTGCATCAATTTCACCAATGAAAAATTACAGCAGCATTTCAATCAGGTTAGGCCACTTCACAAACCAATGGGTTTCTGTTACCATTCAAATGGAGTGAACAGTCTTTTCTCATAATTGCTTGTTTATTTGCAGCATGTGTTCAAAATGGAACAAGAAGAGTATACCAAAGAGGAGATAGACTGGAGTTACATAGAATTTGTTGATAACCAGGATGTTTTGGATCTGATTGAGAAGGTATTTAATACGCAGCATTCTTTATAGTGTCGATCACTCATTGTTTACCCCCATATTTTGCTTCTTAAAGAAACATGCAATTTTGGTCGCATGGCTCATTGTGACACATGGGTAGTTCATCAAAATCCTATAAGAAGTTAATGGATACTCATCACTTATTGAGTCACTCTAGTATCAAATCTAGATAATGCACTGAACTGCTATTTTGGCCATTAACAGAAACCAGGAGGAATAATTTCTCTTCTAGATGAAGCTTGGTATGTTGTTCTGTTCAATTCTCTGTTCAAGCTTTACCATATTAGACTTCTTCTCATTTTTTGGATCCTTGTGCTCTCATGATGGAATCGGTTTGAGGGCTCCACTTAGACTCTCTGAATACTTTTGCAGCATGTTTCCCAAATCGACGCATGAAACTTTTGCTCAGAAGCTGTACCAGACATTCAAGAACAACAAACGTTTTATCAAGCCGAAGCTATCACGTACGGATTTCACTATCTTACACTATGCTGGGGAGGTACACTCATTTTACAATCATGTCAAACAGTTGTTCATTTTTTTTTTAACACGGTTGATTCCTGAATTCATTATTTTTGTACTTTTCTTATTGAAGGTTAATTATCAAGCCAATCAATTTTTGGATAAAAATAAGGATTATGTGATAGCTGAACATCAAGCTGTGATGACTGCTTCAAAATGCCCCTTTGTCATGGGATTGTTCACACCACTTAAAGAAGAATCATCTAAGTCATCAAAATTCTCCTCTATTGGTGCTCGGTTTAAGGTAATGAATATAGCCTTTTCTCACTCTCATGTTTGGATTGGCTTGTGGCACTTGAGCTTTGTGAGTAATAATCAAATGTGCAAGTTATCTGTTGCAATATAATGTGAACACTTCTTAACCTCTTTATCCCAGCTACAACTTCAATCTTTGATGGAGACTTTGAGTGTGACGGAACCTCACTACATTAGATGCGTCAAGCCGAATAATGTTCTGAAGCCTGCTATTTTTGAGAACGTTAATATCATTCAGCAGTTACGTTGTGGGGTTAGTACTATATCCGAGTTATATTTACTTTATCTTTCAACCACTTGAAAATTACTTTTTTTGCCAAAATCTGTTTGTTATTACTTTAATTTCTTTCTACCGAACTGTTCATGCTTATGCATTATAATATAGGGAGTTCTTGAGGCAATTAGGATTAGCTGTGCTGGATATCCTACAAGGCGAGCCTTCTATGAGTTTCTCAATCGTTTTGGTCTTCTAGCTCCTGAAATTTTAGATGAAAAGTAAGTTCCTACAATTTTCTCACTCATTAATGTCGTATGATAAATCCAGGAAGGATTCCTTGTTTATATTGATGGTGTGGAACATAATTTTTAGTACTTTATCTCGATTGTTGCAGTTACGATGATAAGGTTGCATGCCAAATGATTCTTGACAGAAAAGGGCTTAAAGGGTACCAGGTGATTAAACTTGCACCTTTCTATTTTTTCAACTTTTGTGCTCCATTAGTTCCTTCATGTCCGGTGTATCTTTTTTCATTGGACATACTTGGAAGCATTCACCGACAACATATGTGAATTCACATTTGGCAGATAGGCAAGACAAAGGTATTCTTGAGAGCAGGTCAGATGGCTGAGTTGGATGCCAGGAGAGCAGAAGTACTTGGAAATGCAGCTAGAATCATTCAGCGGCAAATCCGCACTCACATTGCTCGCAAGGAGTTCATTTCATTAAGAAAGGCAGCTATGGAACTTCAGTCTTATATACGAGGTGATTTGTGGGACTTTAATTAAGTTACTGATAAAACCACCTCAATCAACAAGTGGTAGTTCTTATAAGTTGTGTTTTGTTGTGAGAATGAGGTGGACCACCATTTCTATTATTTATCACGTTTATGGAATGTTATGGCCGACTGAATTGATTGAAGCACCTGTTTAGTAGGATTCAGGAAAACTGGCTCCCCTTTTTGTATTTGAAAAGTTATTAGTAAAATGTTTCAGGTTGATTGTCTAGAAATCGGAAAGATTTACCTTGTCTTATTAACGTTCCGGGAATTCTTTTTGTAGGTAATAAGGCCCGTGGAATGTTCGAGCAGTTGAGGAGGGAGGCATCTGCTGTGAAGATTCAGAAAAACTTCCGCCTCTTTGTTGCTAGAAAATTCTACATAAGGAAAAGATCATCTGCTATAACATTGCAGACAGGCTTAAGGGCGATGGCTGCACGTAATGGTTTCAGGTTCAGAAAGCAAACTAAAGCTGCCATCACAATCCAGGTATGACCCTATTTTTTATGTTTGTTCTGTTGTCAAGATGGTTCTACCTTTACGTCGATTTGGGGAAACATTGATATCGTCTTACCTGGTTCTTAGTCTCACTGGCGGTGCTACCAAGCTCGTTCCTACTACAGGCGTCTTCAGAAGGCTACAATTGTTACACAATGTGGGTGGAGATGCAGAGTTGCTAGAAGAGAGCTCAGAAATCTGAAAATGGTAGATCTTGTTAGAGATATCAGCATGTGTATGAGATATAATCATGAGGGGGAACATTGTGCTAAATTTTCTTGTGAATGTGATCAGGCTGCTAGAGAGACAGGAGCTCTTAAGGAAGCAAAGGATAAGTTGGAAAAGCGTGTTGAGGAACTCACATGGCGCCTGCAATTGGAAAAACGACTAAGGGTAGTTATATTGCATCACAGCCTGCTCTTAGTCAGATTACTGCTTAGATGTACTCTTGCATAAAAAATAAAAATAGCTAGCTTTACTCTGATCTCCGGTCCTGACCTGGCTGATTATTTTTGCTCAAACACAGACCGATCTCGAGGAGGCTAAGTCCCAAGAAGTTGCCAAGCTTCACAATGCATTAAATGCTATGCAATCACGAGTAGAAGAGGCCAACGCTTTGGTTGTTAAGGAACGGGAGGCAGCTCGGAAAGCTATTCAAGAAGCACCTCCAGTTATTAAGGAAACTCCTGTTGTAGTTGAAGACACAGAGAAAATTCGCTCTTTTACTGCTAGAGTTGAAAAGTTGGAGGTATGTGTCCTAGTGGTGCAGGGATATTGGTCTCCTTGCAGATTCCATTTCTATATTATGTCTCCGTGCTTTGATGAGAAGGATGGGTTACTTTCAGGACACTTGGAACTGCAGTAAAATTTGTCCAGGTTTACTAGCTGAAAGGAAAAACCTCGTGCTGACAGAATTTAATTTCATTAGGCTTTACTGCTCTCTCAAAGACAAGCAGCAGAAGAGGCAAAACAAGCTTGTGCTGTTGCTGAGTCTCAGAAGGAACAGCTTTGTAAGAAGCTTGAAAACTCAGAAAAGAAGGTGGATCAACTTCAAGATTCAGTTCAGAGGTTTGTGACAGTTCCTCATTTCTTGTCTACTCCTCTCTTGGTTGACTGTCTGTTACATCGGTTGTGATTGATATGTTAATGAATGGGTATCATCAATCTTATCCTCATCCTAACCTTTCGCCGCAGACTTGAAGAAAAGGTATCCAACTTAGAATCAGAGAATCAAGTTCTCCGTCAACAGGCACTTGCTATATCACCAACTGCAAAAGCCTTGGCCCTTAGACCAAAGACAACCATTATTCAGGTATAATATAAACTAGCTTTGTACCTGGCCTTTGGACGGGCATAATTTGTTATTATTTATATCGATCCTTTTTTAATTTTATAGTTATTCAAAAAAATTATATTGTTATCTTCTTATTAGTAATTCGTCAAAGAAAAAATATTTGTTGTTCTCTGCTACACCTCAATGTATATATTTACTCTGTCTTATTCCTCCTTAACATGAGCTTCTTAAATAAAACATTATACATTGACCCTTAGTTCCGTTCTCCTCGAATTACACAAGTGAGTTTGCCCATATTAACATTTTCAATATTTAGCATACCCCCTTATAATGGTTCCATTCTTAAATGGTATCTTAAGACATGGAGGTTGACAAATTAATTTCATGATTAAAATTTACAAAATCTTACAATCATTATGAAATTTTGTATGTGCCTCAAATATATATGTTTAAACACATTAACATCGTTAAATTATAACTTTAATCTCATTTAGAAAATACCAATGTGCTATAAATCTTGTCCAAGAAAACTAATAAATTACGGCTAAAAGATTTCAGTTTAAAATCAAAATGCTGAAAATCATTTATAAATTGCACATATGTTCCTAAAAAAGAGTATTGGATTGACAAAATCAATTTAATTAAAATGAAAAGGAAGGAGAAAAATTGTGGCCAGTTTATTTCTCATGCGGGAAGCCTTATTACAAAACTGACCAAAGAAGGTCCTCGGGGAAACGGTTACAGAGGGAAATATTTAAAAAATTTAAAATAAAAATTCTGATGGCCGAGAGTTACGGAGAATGCTTGAGGGCTGGCGTGGAGGGCCTCTTTTTAAACCCCTTTAATATATTGTAAGATTCCGTTCATTTTATCAACACATGAGATACTGCATGGAGATTGAGCTGATTTTTTCCCGACTTATTGCAGAGAACCCCAGAGAATGGAAGTATTCCTCACTCAGAAACAAGGCGAACACCAGTAAGAGTAATATATTACACATTCTTGGTGAGATGCTTTTTCCCAATGTTTTGTTATCTAGCAGCTTGAAGTTGTTTTTTCTCTGGGTTATCCAATCCTTGTAGGACACAATGCTGGCGTTGCCTAGTACAAGGGAGTCTGAAAACGAGGACAAACCCCAGAGATCTCTTAACGAAAAGCAGCAGGTAGGTTTCTAGAAATACATGGAAATAAATGCATCTCTAAAGAATCAGGGTTTGCACTTCTCTTGACAGATGGTGTTTGCTCTTTATGTAACTTGTAAATTGTCTTTACCTGCTATGCTTTGACCTATAGGATATACAAGACATGCTACTCAAATGTGTAGCTCAAGACCTTGGATTCTCTGGGGGGAAACCTGTTGCTGCTTCCCTGATATACAAATGCCTGCTTCAGTGGAGGTCATTCGAGGTTGAAAGGACTAGTATTTTTGATCGTATTATTCAGGCAATTGGTTCAGCAATTGAGGTAGCTAAAACCCTGTCTCCTGCTTTGTAACAATGAATTGATCTCATTTGGTACATCCAGCAAATCCAGAACAATTACAATGCATAAATTTCCTTTAAATTCGGGTAAAATCAGTTGGCCCAATTCATTCATTGATTGTCCTTGAATTGGGAATTATGTATGTGCATGTATGTGCATGTATTGAATTTATCATAATTTAGGTATGTACTGGTTACTTATTGCTGATCTTACTCATTTCCCTCTGGTAAGGCCCAGGATAACAATGACGTGTTGTCGTATTGGTTATCCAATTCAACAACCCTCTTGTTGCTGCTTCAACGGACACTAAAAGCAACCGGTGCTGCTAGCTTAACTCCACAGCGCCGAAGATCAACATCCTCTTCTCTTTTTGGGAGGGTATCCCAGGTGAAGAACATTATCAGCTTTCAATCATTCTTTCACGAAGGACATTTGGTGTTCATACTTAATGAATTCTCTTACAATTTTCTGGTTGGCTGTATGTTTCAGGGGTTCCGTGGCTCTCCCCAAAGTGCTGGTTTCTCATTCCTCAATGGCAGGGTGCTCGGTGGTCTGGAGGAGTTGCGTCAAGTTGAAGCTAAGTATCCTGCTTTACTTTTCAAGCAGCAGTTGACGGCATTCCTGGAAAAGATATATGGAATGATAAGGGACAATTTGAAGAAAGAGATCTCGCCCTTGATCGGCTTGTGCATCCAGGTATTCCTCATGCCATTGTTCATAGATCCATTGGAGTCCCCTCTCTTGCAAGTTGTAAATCACATCTGGAAATATTAAATGCAGGCACCACGTACATCACGAGCTGGTTTAGCCAAGGGACGGGCTCAGGCGAATGCTATGGCTCAACAAGCTCTTATTGCTCATTGGCAAAGCATAGTGAGATCCCTGGACAGTTGCTTGAAAACAATGAGAGCCAACTATGTAAGTAGAAGTTCTTACTACGTGAATGAAGATCAATTTTCCTCTTTTTCATGTTTATGCGGCATGAAATCTTCAATGTTGTGTTCCCACAGGTACCTGCATTCCTAGTCCGAAAGGTCTTCACGCAGATATTCTCGTTCATCAACGTTCAGTTATTTAACAGGTACCTCCTCTAGTCCTTTCTGGTCAAATTTTCTAGTCTCCTAGACTTTGTTGGAACACCACAAATGAAAACTAAGAGTTTGGCTGTCTCTAGCCTTCTTCTGCGTCGAGAATGCTGCTCATTCAGTAACGGGGAGTATGTAAAGACAGGGTTGGCTGAACTGGAGCAGTGGTGCCATGATGCAACTGAGGAGGTAATTTACTAGTTGGAGGTATCTTGGTAGTCCAAATTCTTCCCTTTTTCTGGAAACCCACTAATCGGTAACTTTTCGATCCAGTTTGTAGGCCCGGCATGGGAGGAACTGAAACACATAAGACAAGCTGTCGGATTCCTGGTTCGTTCCAGCAAACTGTCTTGTCTTTCTACGACCATTCTCATTCTTGCCTTACCTTCATTCTCTTACTGGGTTTGTTCATTTGTTCAATTCAGGTCATACATCAGAAGCCAAAGAAGGCGTTGAAAGAAATTACAACCGATCTTTGCCCTGTGAGTAGTATAGCACCGTTCAGCATCCTGTATCTGCTTGTTTTCCTCTCTTTTTTTTTTTTTTTTTTTTTTGTTGTTGTCTTTGTATTGACCTTTCCCTGACTCTTCTCTTCGTGGTATCTCCAGGTCCTCAGCATACAGCAACTATACAGAATCAGCACCATGTACTGGGATGACAAATACGGGACACATAGTGTTTCATCGGAGGTAAGCCACTTGATTCTTCTCAACTAACCATTAGACTTGCCACCAATGAAAAGTGTTCCGGATGGTTACTTGTCTCTTTGGTAACGGTATTTCCTCCGATTTCTTTCAGGTCATCTCAAACATGAGAGTCATGATGACAGAGGACACGAATAACGCTGTCAGCAGCTCGTTCTTGTTGGATGACGATTCGAGGTATGAACATCAATTCAACTTCCTCTTTTGTAGAATGAAAAGGTTTTACTTAAACCATTAGAAAGTAGAAAACCATTAATCTTTTTTGTTTTTGTTTTTGGGAATGCAGTATACCATTCACAGTAGACGACATTTCCAAGTCAATGCAGCAAGTCGAAGTTGCTGAGATCGAACCACCACCTCTGATCCGTGAAAACTCGGGCTTCTCCTTCCTGCAACGCACGGACTGATCATTTGCCCTCTGCAGCCCTGTGAATATCTTGTTCTATGGAAGCTCCAATTTGTGTAAGTATTAGCATTGCGCTTAGTTTGGAACAGTAGGTAGACAGTTCTTATATAGGGCAAGAAAACTGAAAAAACCACAAAGAAATCAAAAGAAGGGGGGAGGGAGAATAGGCAACGGTCGAAGCCCTTTCTCATTGCTACTTTGATTCTTTTTTTTTTTTTAGTTGGGAAACAATGATGTGTAGTGTAAAATTAGCTGCCATTGGCAGCTATGTAACTTGTTGTAATGTTCGCACTTCTGTCCAAACGACCGATAATGTCATTGTTAGTTAATCAAGTGGTATATTTGGATTGGCTCTTGTGAGTTTTGTTGTCGAACTCATCTCAAGATATGCGTTACTGACCGTAATTAAATCTGGATGAGTTTAGAAAATCCAGATCTAAAAATTGTGAATTAATGCCCTTTTATTTTCGGGTAAATTGCAAGGTTGGTCATTGAAATTACTAAAAACGTTCATGTTTGGTCACTAAAAATATTTAAATCCATTTGTGGTCACTTATTAGTTAAATACTTCAAGTTTGGTCACTTTCCGTCCAACTCCGTTAACTTTTGTTTATGTGGCGTCAACTCTTATAGTTGACCGTTAAATATATAATGTGCTAATTAAAAAATAAAAAAATAATCTTTTAATTTTTTTACCTCATTATCACTTTTATTAAAAATAAATAAAAAATCTAATTTCTTCTAATCCGCAATACACTTGATCTATCCTTCATCGCCGAGACACTCTCCACCGGCGCTGCCGCTTACATCATTGGACTTCCTTCCCACAGGACATTCTGGAAATCCCCACCATCACTGTCATCTTCCTTCCCTTTCCTTTCCTACTCCCCTGTGGCTGAAATCGTTGAATCCGTCGAGAAATCTAGCACCTCATCCCTGCCGTCGTCTACCTCTACTCCCGCCTCTCCGAGTTCATCACCCCAATCTGAACCGTGCGCCACAACCAGTACCGCGCCGCCGATGCCGCCATCATCAATAAGCTCTTGGACGAGGGCAAATATGGGTTGCTGGAGGGAGATAATTAAATCTTGAGAGGGAAAGGCCCTTCGTTGCGGGCGCGCTGGAGGGGTTCATCGAAATCGGCAAGGGACTGTCGATCTTCTTCTTCGACGGAGCTGGAGCAAGATAGTCCTACGACGATGATGGGGTGGTTGGCAATGATTTCCCCTTCTTTCCCTAGAGCTGGAATTCGATGACTTTGACAGTTGGAATTCGATGATTTTGACAAATTGATAGTGACTATACTTCATTAGATTAAGAACATGGAGAAGCAAGTAAAGGACCGAAAAGGAATGAGCACATCAGAAGGCGATGCAAGCCGCTAATTTTCCCCATTGATCAAGCACTTTCTCTCACATATCAGCACGTTCGGACCTAAGCTCAAATTACGTACCAATAAATTGGCTTGCCAGAGCTCATCTCCAGGAACCCACACAACAACACCGACGAGATATCGCCTGAGCTCGGCCGCCTCCGGGAGCCGTGGTCCCAAACTCCAACTCCGACACGATCCTTGCAAACCTCTCCGCCTGTTCGAATCTCACCATGCTGCAAGCGATTACAACGACTTGACTGGAGAAATCCCAATCGAGCTCTGCCATCTCATGAACCACGAGCTGTAAAAGGTTAAATTTTTTATAATTTTTATTTTTGAATTGCCATATCACTTATTTAACGGTCAACTGTCAGAATTGACTGCCACATCAGTTAAATTTAATGGAAGCTGACGGAGAGTGATCAAACTTGAACTATTGAACTAATCTTAGTGACCACGAATGGAATTAAATATTTTTAGTAACCAAACATAAACTTTTTTCGTAAACTCAGTGACCAAACTTGCAATTAACCCTTTTATTTTCCTTAGTTTTCTTAATCGGCTCTTATCTTTTTCGTTCTAACTCGGATTTCAATTTTTTTTTGCAAAGATGGAAGGAGTTTGTTGTGCTCTACAAAATAATATCAATTTTCAATATTTTTGAGAATTTTGTTCATACCTCTGTTACCAACTTCATACCATATGATAACTTTTTCGTTTTTAAGTCGTTTTTGAAAATATTTGCTCAGAAGAAAGAGTTCATAATGATCTATTGGATCTACAAATTTTTGGGTGAAAAAAATACAGGACCAAAAATTACCACACTTTACCACTCTGATATGAGAGTGGTAACTTGTGATAAACAATAATGAAAGTCGTAAATGACAGTTAGTATATTCCTACTATCATGTATTCAACCTTCCTACAGTCTTGATATGTTCATACCATCATGGTACGCTTTCTTACCATATGGTATGCTCATATTTAATACCATATGGTATTGACTGGTAAAAAATGCATCAATTTTTTTTTTGTTCTAAAAACATATCAAAGTGAATATCGTTTTAAAGAGCACAAATAATCTGATTTATCTGTACAAAAAAATTTTAAATTCCGACTTAAAATGAGAGAAATCGTTCGTTGAAGATTAAAGGAGAAAAATAAAAGGCTTTCCATGAGAGAAAGATGCTGATGTCATGTTGATATGGACAGATTACTCATGGTTACTCACCCTAAAGTTACTGACATGATCCGCTCCCGTTAGTTTGTGTTCCTCTCAGGGAATTCTCCTTACAGGTGTCAAAAAACTAAACCCGACGCCAATAATTGGTAATCTATTAACCTCCACTTGGCCAATTTAGCGAGGCCTCGAAGACTAAACCAGTCTCTTTACATCAGCAGCACAAGGCTGTCAAAATTGAAACAATACTAAAAGAAAGAAGTTCAACATCCAGCTTTTTATCTTCGATCTCTTCCACAATAACACCCCTTTTAGCAATCCGAGAGAGGAAGTGTATCAGGTTAACTCTCCAGTCCTCAGTAATGATTTTCAAGCAAACAAGACAGAAGACCACTTTCGTTGAGAAATAGATAACCAATTCACAACCCAAGAATGAAATTTCAATATGAAGAGAAAACGTTTCAGAGGTATAACATTGAACCATATCCTTTTCCAAGTCAACCAGAAAAAAATAAATTAACTAACGGGTGATGATTGTATGAATTCTGTAGCAAGATCCTTGTGTCGAACCGAAGTAGATGACAAATCACCTAGTTAGAGTTGACTCTTGTTTAATATAACTTCTTAAAGTTCCTTCCTTCCTTACTTGTTGCATTTTTATTGTGTCTCTGCAGATGGATACTAATTCAGCCAATTCACCCCTCGGCATGCATCTCTCTCCTCTTTTCCATGTTGCAGTTCCCTTTTACCAACTGTTTGTTGTTGATCGAGCATTCACTGAATTAAAGGAGGTTGCATTTACCATGTGTGACAGAATCCAACTCTGGAGCATTACAACAATTATAGTGCACCAGACCAGAGCTAAGAAGTACAATATTGCACTGTAAGATCTGCAACTCAAGAAACATCTAATCAAAGTTTAGTTTTGGTCCTTCCAGACCAAAAAACATTATCTCATGAAATGTACCACAATTTTTTGCAAGGAAAATTCTATATTGAGAGAGGCATAGCAAGGAATAGAGTTTCAGACTTTTGAGGTGAGGGAGGAGATGGGGATATTGTAAAAGAGGAGAGTACCTCAGCTAATTTCTCAGCCAAATTGATTGATTCATCCAAATTTTTTACTGGCAAACGAGGCAATTTGGTACAATTATCTCAAAATGATCTGTTACAATTCCTCGTCTAAACTACCCTTAACTGACAGAAATTAAATGGGTTATAGGTATAATATGCCCATCTATTATGACGCTTTATCAAACATGCCCCTCTACTATTTTTTACATCAAACATGCCCCTGTACTTTGTAAAAATGATCAAACATGCCCTTTTATTAAAATTTTCATCCAAAAACCGTTAATCAAAGCCGAAATTTAGTTTGAGCGACACAAATGACTAAAATATTCCTAATAAATTCACTTTAGAATTTTTTTGGTTCTTTTGTATAATCAAATCATTCAAATAATTTCACTTTGAAAAGACCCAGGGAAATAAAACAGGGACAAAACTGACATTTTCCCTCCCATTTGCCAATGTCGGGTCGTCTAAATCTCGGTTCAACCACGATTGACGATTTTTTCAATGGAAATTTCAACAGAAGGGCATGTTTGATAATTTTTTCAAAGTACAGGGGCATATTTGATGTAAAAAATAGTAGAGGGGCATGTTTGATAAAACGTCATAGTAGAGGGGCATATTATACCTATAACCCAAATTAAATATACCTGATTAGCTCGGAGAGTTGCATATGTTTGGACTGAGTGACCGATTAGGGTTAGCCGGTTAGGTTTTGAGAAAGCCACATAAGCATCTACGTGGCCTAATTAAAAGAGGGTGCCGCACTTTAATTAGCGGACTGTAGTATTGGCAAGTTGAATCAAATATCCACTGTAAAGCCCAATGGTCAGTAATTGGGCCACAGAAATATGGGCTCGCGGTTGCGCGGTAGAGCACCACCGAACCGCTTGACCCGCGAAGGCTTCGTTGACAAACAGCCATTTGTTTTTCCTTCCCTTCCCACGAATTTGTCACAGGAAACCGACACAGCAGTGGTTTAAAGAACCTTTGCAAAACCTTTATAAACCCTTAAACCCTAGCTAACTGCGGCAAGCAAGCAAGCAAAAGGGAGAGGGCCGAGAACTTTACCGCCGAATTACGTCGCCGGCCAGAAGGACCAGCGACTTAATTATCGTTTTTTGTTTTTCTGTGTGCAGGGTTTTGGAGACTACTGTGTTGTATAACCTTGACTGCAGGAGCTCTGGATATTGTAACACATACGTCGCACAGTTTCCTTGATCAAACATATCGTTTACCTGTTTTAGTATATACTCTAGGTTTTTCAGATGGCAATCGATGGAAGGTTCAGTGTCCAATCTGCGCTGGAGAGGTTCCTTGCTCGTTGCCCAGAGCTCAAACGAATTAAGAAGATTGATAATCTTGTTAAAAAGGTGCAAATCCATTCTTAAATTACTCCTTTTCCAAGGATGAGGAATTGGAAGGCCTTGGGAGGATAGACGAATGAACTTCTTTCCCCCTTGTTCTTCCCGTTTTGCTTCGACGAGAACTGTAATCTGTCTCTGTGGCAACCCATTTGTGTAGTCTGTTAAGTTATTGGCATTGGAATTTGTGTGTGTGCAGGGGGACGTAGGGATAGAAGAAGTGGTTAATTTGGCGGCAGAACTGTTTGTGAACCCAAAATATACAATTCTATTGGTTGGCTGTTTCCGAGCAATATCTCAAAAAATCATAGAGAAAGTGGTGTGGTTACTTGGCCAATGCAATCTGATCGGCAACACTAATGAAGAAGTAGGAAGTTTCAGTGACGCAGAAGCGTTTGTTGTTGAGCATTGCATACGGAATGGCATGGGTTTGTATCTTCATGAGCTTGCTTGCTTGGCCTTCGCTCGTGCTCTTGACTTGGACCAGTCCTTGTGGAGGTAATTTGTTCTTCTCTGCTCAGATACGGTGCACTTGTGTGCTTGCAGTAGTTGCACATAGTGCTGCGTCACTGTTAATTTCCACCTTAGAGGTTGTGACGGCCTCTGTATAATTCTGTCACTTGAATCTGGTTTTTTTGTGTTCAGCCGCTGCTTTTGTCAGTATTTGGATATTGGTATTAAACTGCTGCTCTAGTGATGTAGTACCGCTCAGGGATACATGTGTAAGATGTTCCTTGTTTTCCACTTGTTGCAGGTCTGTATCTCCGTATTTTAAATTCTCTCCTCCGCCCTTTGAAAGGATCTTGAGGAAAAGGGTGGTTTCTGAGATCTCGAAGGTTCTCACTCTTATCCCTCATGTTTCTGATTCATTTGTGTTGCAGTCTCGGGTATTTGTATCTGTTTATGTGCAATTGAGTTTACCTGCCATTTATAGTCAGTAGTAGATAAAATGTTATTCTGGTATTGGTCAATTTTATCCTTCTCTATATCTTAATCATCACTTGGAAGGGGATGTATCTATGATTGATGTCCTGACCTGTAACTGTAAGTAGGAGTTGAAACTTATAGACGGGAAATGTGGTGAAATGCTTTTTCAGCTTTTTGTTTTTGAAATTTTCAAACAGACTTAAAAGTTGATAGAGTTTTGGGAACAAAGCCTGTGTGATGGCCCAATGATTTACACAAAACTTGTTACAGTCACTTCATTCCATGTGGTATTGTGTTTGGAGTAGGACGGCAGCAGGAAATTTACCTCTTGATTTGACTCCTTGTTTCTGAAATGTTGATTGATTTATTCCCTTATCACACATGTATTTATATATATTTTTATCAACCGTTTTTGTTATTTTTAAGATATTTTATTGAAGATCTGTTTTGTGTCTCTCCAGCTTGCAGAGCATTACTTACTTGTGGCCCGGACGTCTTATCGTCTCCTTCTTATGGAGCCAGAGTGTTTTTCCAAACTATGGGACTGGTCTTGTTTTTTGGATCTTCTGAAGGAGACTCAGTGTCTTGATATGAGCCTTCTCAGAGAGCACGAGAGGGAACTTTCAGATATTAGATGGTCTGGGGAACAAATTCTAGCAGTTCTGTTGAAACTGAATGGGCCAAAGACCGAAAAGGCAGAAGAAGCAGCATCGTGTCTGTTGCGGTTGGTCTATATTCTGAATTTTGTTTGTAATTCAATTTTCTGTAGGCCTTCCCTACATGTGTAAGTATGTCATTCCTTTCCTGTTTGCAGGTGGGAGGACTTTTGTCGGGATGTCGCTTTAGAGAATGGTGGTTCATACTTTGAGCTATTTGACAATACCAAGGAATATTCTTCCAATCATTTTAGCGAGCAGGACTGCCTAAAATCTATTAGCCTTTGTCCAGTGAAGTCATCGCCGCTTCAGGAAATTGAGCCTGCAGTAAAAAGTCGAAGGTTAACTAGATGGTATGTTTTTCAACAATCATCTACGAAGCTTGAATAATTAATTTTCTTACATTGTAAATGAAGTTAGTCCTAACGTCATATATGAAGAAAATTCGTGGGTAGTGATGTTTGTTTCTTCATTTGATTGTTAATCTGTTACTGTTTTGCCGACATAATTAGGATCTTGAAGTTTGCTTTGTTGACTTTGATTGCGTTCTGTGGTTATTAGCAGTGAATCGGTTCGCAATCCTTTTGTCGTCACATCGGCGATGCGAAGAAGCTTTGAGATGGTTCTTTTAGCTGTTAGTCAAAGGTGGCCTGTTCTTCTTTATGGCCAACCTGGGGTCGGGAAAACAGGTCTGATAAGCAAGTTGGCTGAAGATACCGGAAACCAAGGTATTTCAAATTACAATAAGAACAATAAGAACTGTAGAAATTAACATATGCTACCCCAAATCTCCTACGTGTTCGTTGCACAACCATTTTAAGATTCGGTTGCATCTTCTGTTAAATCAGTTGGTTTCTGGAGCTTGTACATGCCTGATTAAATGGACTACAAAGTTTTCTAATAACAGGATTTACATGAAAACACAGTTATATCTAACTGGTACAAGTTTCAGTGAGCATTGACATTACGTAAAAGACACACCTAATGTGTATTTTTTTCTTGATCTCTAAGTAGTGTACCTGCAGCTTAAGGAAATTCCTTTAAGGCATCTTGGGGTCCCATTGTATGTTAGAGATTGTTAACATGATTCTTGAGGATGTGATGTGATAGGAAAGAGGTTGTATTTTTGCCTTTTTAGGTCCATTTTGCAGTATAGATCTATCAAAGGTTGGAGGCTGAGGATAATGGTTGGCATGCAAATATAAGATGTTGCCATTTATGTAATGTGAGAAATTAAAAAGATCTAAAAAGGAATATGAAAAGTAATGAAGCTTCATCACTTGGTGTGAAGTGTGGTACCATTCTCTAATTGTGTGAAAATTATTTAATGTAAAGCTTCATTATTCGTGCAGTAGACTGTCTAAGCACCATATTTAGGACATGGTTGTGGAACGGTAGATTTGTGGAAGCTGTTTGTGCTCTAAAGTGCTTAAACTTGAAGTATGGGACTTTGGTTTGGCTCTGTGTTAGATTCTCTAATGAACACATCATTTAACCTTCCATTTTATTTTTTTATTCTAAGTTTCTTTTACTTCCTCTTACGGTGGTACCTCCAGGCTATGTTTATTTACTGATATATGTTTCTTGTTCCAGTTCTGTCTATTCATATGGATGATCAAATTGATGGCAAAACATTGCTTGGGAGTTATGTTTGTACCGAGAAACCTGGTGAATTTAGGTGGCAACATGGAACACTTATCCAGGTTTGTTTATTACATATTTGATTTCCTTTATGATGTGCTTGTCTGTAGACCTGTTAGATTCCAGCCCTTGTGATTGAGTATGCAGTATGAGCTATCTTCCATTCACCGTGACCGAGACAGTTCTCTTTCCACAGGCTGTTTTGGGTGGGTATTGGGTTGTATTTGAGGACATCGACAAAGCCCCAGCTGATGTGCAATCTATCTTGTTGCCTCTATTAGAAGGTGCAAGTTCTTTTGTTACTGGTCATGGAGAGGTAACCATGTAACTCAATCTATTTAGTTTTAGTTTTTTCTTTTTGCTTTGATCATTTTAGTAATAACTAAGGATCGCTTTCTTTCAGGAAATACACGTGTCAGCAAATTTTAGATTATTCTCTACCATTTCTACATCTAAGAGTGATGTATCTCGATCAGCCGAAGGTTTGTAGAATTTATCTCTGGTTCAGCTTCATTGAAGGCTGCTCTTATGTTGTTTTAATTATAGGTTCTGCAGGAATTATGTGTTGTACTTGTTGTGGTTGAAATGGAACTTATCCCGTCTTTTTCCTGTTTGAAGGGGGGAATGTGCTTAGCGTTTTTTGGAGAAGGGTGATGATTGACCCCCCAAATACAGATGACTTGAAAAACATACTGAATGCGTGGTATCCTGTTTTAGAGCCTCTATCTGGAAAGATCTTGCGTGGGTGTTAACTTTTCTTGGCTTATCTTATTTGAACTTTGAATTGCCTTAGCTAGCCAATGATGGTATTCACTCTGTTCTGTTTTTGTGCCCATTTGTAGAAACATTTGAGCGAGTCAACTCTGCCACTGTCCTTCAATCTTTTGGTTTTCTATCAAGAAATTCTGCTTCCTCCAGTTCCCTTTCCAGGTTCTCAACAAGGTATTATGTCTTCCGTCACATTGGCTCCAGTAGATATGGTCACCCAGGTCCTTACGCTAATAGAAAAATTCATGTGTGGTAATGCAGGGATCTACTCAAGTGGTGCAAACGAATTTCAGGGTTAATTTCTAACTTTAATGGAGATAGGTCAACTGAGTGGCACTTTATTTACCTGGAGGTCTGATCTTGTCATTTAATGTCCTGCACTTTGTTTTCTGTCTGCTGATTCATTTACAGATGTTGGAAGTTTATTTAATTTTCTTATAATGTCTACTTTCAGGCTGTAGACATATTTGCAGCCTTTTCAGCATCTGTCGAGAAGCGGCTTGCTGTGATGAAAGAAATAGCCGATGTGTGGGGAGTTCCCCACTCTGAAGTTGCCATATTCCATCCTTTCAGACCTGAGATTCAGGTGACTATATCTTGATAATATAAAGAACTCAGCTACTTATATGCCTTGACTTATATTTATTTGTGTACCTCAGGTTCTTTCTACAGAGCTAAGGGTTGGTCGAGTTACCCTTGAACAACACAATACTACGGTTGGTGGGAGCATTTGTTTTAGCCTAGTTGAGTTTGTATCCTTCTGTTTGTTGATATAAAATTATACTGTTACAGGATCGCTTTCATGGAAAACTTGTCGCGATGCGTAGTTCTCTGTATGTACTTGAGAGGATAACTTGTTCTGTTAAGAACAATGAGTCTGTTCTTTTGGTTGGTGAAACTGGAACAGGGAAAACTACTCTTGTGCAAAATCTGGCCATGATGCTTGGTCAGAAACTGACTGTTGTGGTACGTACATATCTTTCTTCCTTCGATATAGTTTTCTCCTTTGGCCTCTTCATATCTAAGATCTTACGGGAGCTGCTATTGGCTTACAGAACTTGAGTCAGCAAAGTGACGTTGCTGATTTACTAGGAGGATTTAGGCCCATGGATCCACAGTCTATTTGTGTTCCCCTCTACAAGGAGTTTGAGAACCTGTTTTCCAGGACCTTTTCTGTGAAGGTATGTGCTATATGGAATTATGATTTTCCTGTGATGTCCTTTTGCCTTCGTGATCTTGAGTAACTCGTTTTTGGATGCTGGCTCGCAGGAAAATGGTAAAATCTTTGCCTATTTACAAAAGATCCTGAGCCAAAAGAATTGGGGAAAGTTATTGAGTCGGTTGAAGAAGTATGTTGAGGATGTCTATAAAAAGGTACCAATAGAAAGCTTTGGGTCTGGGAAGAAGCGAAAGCAACATTCAGACAGAGAAATAATTCGCGAGGACTGGGATAATTTTGCTAAGAAAATTGCAACTGCTTACGGGCAAGTGGGAGATTCATCTGGTATGATATTTTCTTTCATAGAAGGAGCCTTCGTTAATGCTCTTAGAAACGGGGAGTGGATTTTGCTCGATGAGGTGAATTTAGCACCCCCTGAGACTTTGCAGAGAGTCATTGGTGTTCTAGAGGGAGAATACGGTTCACTGTGTTTGGCTGAAAAAGGAGACATTGCAGATATACCTCGACACACTAACTTTCGCATGTTTGCCTGTATGAATCCTGCAACTGATGCCGGGAAGAGGGACTTGCCATACTCTCTGAGGAGTAGATTTACAGAGTACTTCGTTGATGATGTGTTGGACCGAGAAGACCTGAAATTATTTATAAACAAATATCTTTTGGAAAGAGAAGCAAATAGTGAGTTAGAAAGCCGGATCATTGATTTCTATGGATCTGCCAAAACGAACTCAGAGGATAGGCTGCAGGATGGTGCCAACCAAAAGCCTCAATACAGTTTGCGGTCGTTGTACCGCGCACTGGAATATACCAGAGAAGCAAGCAAACAGTTTGGCTTTCAGAAAGCGTTGTATGATGGATTTTCTATGTTCTTCCTGACTTTATTGGACAAACCCAGTGCTGAAATCATGGAAAAATTGCTCACTAGTAAGTTGCTTGGTGGAAAGAAACCTTTAGATGTACCTTTTTGCTCGTACTTAAATGACTTGCATTCTGGAGAATCCATGGCAAATTATGTGCTCACAAAGGGTGTTGAGAAGCAGCTTGAGAATTTAGCACGTGCAGTTTTTATTAAAAGATACCCTGTCCTCTTACAAGGGCCAACATCTAGTGGAAAGACGAGCCTTGTTCAGTATCTTGCCACCAGAACAGGGCATAAATTTGTGCGCATAAATAACCATGAGCATACAGATTTACAGGAATATTTAGGGTCTTACATATCTGATGCTCATGGAAAGCTCGTTTTTCATGAAGGCGTATTGGTTAAGGCAGTCCGGGAAGGTCATTGGATTGTTTTGGATGAGCTTAACCTCGCCCCATCTGATGTACTGGAGGCGTTGAACCGTCTGCTAGATGATAACAGGGAACTTTTTGTTCCTGAATTGCGGGAAGCAATTAGGGCACATCCAAATTTCATGCTTTTTGCCACTCAGAATCCGCCTACTTTCTATGGTGGCCGTAAAATGCTTTCTCGTGCTTTTCGTAATCGTTTTGTGGAGGTTCATGTGGATGAAATTCCAGATCATGAGATGAGCACAATTATTGAGAAGCGGTGCTGTGTCCCTGGGAGCCGTGCTGGACTCATGGTTGAGGTCATGAAGGAGCTGCAGATGCGCAGGCAGAGTAGCAAGGTCTTTGCTGGGAAGCATGGATTTATAACTCCAAGAGATTTGTTTCGCTGGGCTAGTCGCTTGCGAACGTTTTCAGATTCTAAGGAAGTAATGGCAGAGCATGGTTATTACCTTTTGGCGGACAGGTTGCGTAATGAGTCCGAGAGGGTTGTGGTTCGGGAAGTACTGAAGAAAGTTATTAAAATTGAAATTCATGAGGAGAACTTGTACAAGGTAACCTTGAATCTCACTTTTTTGCAATCTCGAGATGCTTCCACCAAATTGTCATTAAAGTAACAGTGTGTTAAGTAATTCTAGGTCCCTCTTATAACTGGACTGGCATATGTTTCAAATTTGTCCAAAATAGGCTTGACCTTTGTTGTCTGGCATGTATGCAATGAATGCCTTGAATATTTGCTGGTGTTTTAGTTTCATGGTAGCAATTCAGCTTGCTAGAGGCCGTACAGTTCATATGGTTTTTATGACATTCTTCTGACTGGAGCCTGTGAATGCAGCTACAAATTTCTTTCAGTTTGCTTATATTTTGTATCATTCTTCTCCTTTTGCTGTTTGATTCTTGTCCATCATTACCCAATATGACAATAATTGTGCTTGCTGTATGCTGCATTTTAAATCTCACTACGGACTTCTTAATGTCTGCGTGAACTTTGGTTTTTACTTGCTTAATTTTCTGTGCACTGTTCAGGGATCAGCGGGAAGTCATTCAACTTCAGGCTTCCAGAGTCTAGGAGAGTATGTACTTCTTAGATATCTTTTCTGCTCACGTTTTTCCTGTGAAGTTTCACACTGTTTCTGTGGCGTATCCTACTTCCTCAAGCTGATCTTTCTTCTTCGCATTTTTTCATATTGTTTTGTTCAGTGTCATCTTGACTGCAAGCATGAGGAGATTGTTTTTTCTTGTTGACTGCTGCTACAAGCTGCGAGAGCCTGTCCTGCTAGTTGGTGAAACTGGTGGTGGAAAGACAACTGTCTGTCAGCTACTAAGTCGTACTCTGGGGTCAAAATTGCATATCTTGAACTGTCACCAATACACGGAAACTTCTGATTTCCTTGGGGTTTGTGTCCTTTGCTCTAGTTTCTGTGTTCCGCTTTTCTTTTTTTGAATTACCTGTTTAAATGTCGTAAGGCTACTCATCAAGTAGTAATTGACGCGTTGAACTGGCTTAACAGGGTTTTTTCCCCATTCGAGAGAGGTCAAGGTTGGCTGCAGATTTCAAGGATACAGTAGAAAAATTGCTTATGACAGAGGCTTTCGCTCATTGCCCTAAAGACTTGGTAAGGAACCATTGACATTTTCTGGTGGGAGATCTTAAACTTCTCAATGAACATATAACTCCTTACATGTTCCTATGGTGCAGGGCATTTCTTCCGACATTCGCCAAGGGTCTTCAAGCATTGCTTCTGTTGATGAGATAATCCGTAACTATAGACAAGGCCAGTTCTCAGTCACTAACGTTACTGCTGAAGACCTTGATACCCTCGAGGGGATGAAATGGGATCTCAGTGAGCTGCATAAAAAATGGCAGACTATATTTATGTGGCAAGATGGTCCCCTTGTTGAGGCAATGAAGGCAGGAGATCTGTTTCTTATTGATGAAATATCATTGGCAGATGACAGTGTACTGGAAAGATTGAATAGTGTGCTAGAGCCAGAAAGAGAACTGGTTGGTATTATTAACATTTAATTGTGGAACATGTTCTTTATTGTACGTCATATAACTGCTGTTACTCTGTGCTAATCGTCCTTACCCATCATTCTTGTGTTGTGCTTGTACTTTTAAATTTTTATATTTACTAGTTAAAGGAAGTTTTAGGTCAGAGAATCATATTACTATTAAGTGTTTTATTAGAATATTGGATTAATTTTGTTGTCTCTATTGGATAGACGATATATGCATTGCTTCCAGATTAACTTTTCTGGCCTAGATCTGATGTCATATTGGGGTATGTGTTGCTGAAAACGTTTGTGATGTGTAAACTTATAGGAATTTTATCTTTGCAGTCACTGGCAGAGAAGGGAGGGTCTGAAATGGAAAAAATTACTGCTCATCCCAACTTTTTTGTGCTTGCTACTATGAATCCTGGTGGTGACTATGGTAAGAAAGAGTTATCTCCAGCTCTTCGAAACAGGTTTACAGAGATTTGGGTCCCTCCTGTTGGTGATTTGCATGAACTTAAAGACATTGCATCGAACAGGTACATTATCATTGTCAGTGATGGTTTAACTTGAAGATTAAATGGTTCTCTTTTTTATGTTTAATTTAAACTTGTGCTTTCAGATTCAACCACCTCGACCTCGCATACATTCTGGATGTTATCGTAAAGTTCTGGGATGTAAGTTTACTATGTTTTCTGAGGTTTCCATAATGCAGTGGACAATCTTCTTAACTTCACTGTGTTTGTTGCAGTGGTTCAACAAGTTACAGACAGGGAGAATACTTACTGTGCGGGATCTTTTATCCTGGGTTGAATTCATTAATGTTACTAGAAGAAGTCTGGGACCACAATATGCGTTAGTACACGGGCTTTTCCTTGTTCTGCTTGATGGTTTACGTCTAGGTAATTATTTATTCTCATCATTGGACATTGCATCTTATCTTGCTACACTTTGTTCTGCTTGCCTGCTTTCATGGAAAGGGAAAAAAATTTGACTTCAGATATCAACATAATTTTCACATCACTTCCTATTGACAGCATTCAGAATCCTCCGCGAGATCCAATTGTCTTACTGGCAATCGGTTGAACGTCCTTTTCTTGAGGCTTGTGTGCTGATGCACATTTAATTGATGTCATCAGAGGTCTTTACTGTTAACCGGCGAGAAAACTTTTGTACTCTTTTGTATGCAATGCAGCTCTGGTCTAGTCATGCCTTGTCTAATACTTGGACGACAGATTCAAAGTGGATGGCACTAGTTAATATTACATTTTACTATCCAAGTTACAACTACTATTCTGCTTCTCTTTGCCTGTTCATTTGCACTAGCATGTCGCTTTCCCATTATATGTTAACTTGTTTTAGGTACTCCTTCCTTTTGTTACTTGTTTGACGTTCTGAGCTGAGTTTATTATTGTCCTTCAGGAACAGGGATTTCTTTACCTGATGCCAGAGTCTTAAGAGAGAGATGTATATCCTTTATCCAAGAACAACCCGAGGTAAATTTTATTCATCTATATGCTTCTGGTTCCATTTTGCTAATTGAAGTTGTAGAAGGGTTGTTTAGGCTAAACAGGATAATGAACCAACTTCCTTTGTGCACCATATACATGATTTATGTAGGCTATTTATGCAAAGTTAATATTGGAAGTTAGATCTGATTGTCGAAGTGATATTTTTATATTGTGCACCATGTTCAGTTGTTAACTTGTAAGATTCTGTAATGTCTCATTGACACTGCCTTCCCTACCAAGTTGCTTACAATTCTATGCTGTTGATGTCGTAGCTCCGTGGTGTTCCAAATTTGTCTCTTATGGATTATGGATGGAGTGATCAAATGGACATTTCATGCATTGAAGATAATCAGCCTGAAAATACATTTGGGATCAGTCCGTTTTATATTGAACAAGGTAATGTGGAATATGTTTGCTTGTTCTAATTTGCCTCCGCCATTAAAACAAAATTTTAATTTGCCTCCGCCATTAAAACAAAATTTTAGAACTGCATGAACTTCAAGTAGATCATGTGTGTTTGAGCTCCATGTTGTGTGTTTTCTCAGGTGACCAGTGCTGTGAGTCTCAAGGTTTTGAATTCCTAGCTCCTACAACACGTAGAAATGCCATGCGCGTATTGAGGGCTATGCAACTTCCAAAGCCCGGTATGTTTTCTTGTGCATATTTTACTCTTACGATCCCTAACTATCAATCTGCAGAAGGAATTTCATAACTTCAGGTAAGGGCAGTTCTGTACTGCCTTGCTTTGTAAATGCTGTGTTTATGCTTTATGTTCGCATTGCTTGTGTAGTTCTACTGGAAGGTAGCCCTGGTGTTGGTAAAACAAGCTTGATTACTGCGTTGGGAAAATATTCTGGGCATAAAGTTGTACGCATAAACTTATCTGAGCAGGTTTGTCATTTAGAATGTGTTCTTCTTCATATGGCTCCTTCTGCCTTCCAAAACTTCCCTTGTAATATTCTACCACTCATAAGCCTTACTCTGCCATAAATGGTTATCTTAAAATATATTAAAAGGGTTTGAGAAAATCACCCTATCCACGTCAGCCTTGGAGAGCTCTCCTTAATTTTCGGAATTAGGGTTGTTTTTTCTCTCTTTTTTTTTATTTCCCGTGTTTTTTTATTAAGACGCGGTTACCACCAATAATAATTAAATTATTGTTAAACAACGTGACGCTTCTATTATTCAAACTAAAACATTTTAATTAGGATTTTTTCCTTTTTGCTAAGAAACGGTTACCACCAATAATTCTTTTGTTAACTAAGGTGGCTCTTATATTATTATTTTTAATAACCCTTCTATTATTCAATTCAAACTAAAACGTTTGCAGTTTTTTTTATTTTGTAATTTTCCCTGCCTTCTGCTAAGAACAGTTACCCGCTATTATTTTTTAATCAAGTTTATCCTTTTAATCTTCACAGTTTAATTAATGAATTTAAAAAATAAATTGGAGAATCAGATGTTCGTCTACAAATCTTTTGGGAACGTGTGGCTTTATTAATTAGGCTTGGTTCATCTCCAAATCTTTTGGGAACGTGTGGCTTTATTAATTAGGCTTTCCATGATAAATTTTGAAGATGGCTTCTTAAGCCATTTTTAACCCGATTTTTGCTTTCATGTTTAATATTATCTTTTTAATAAGAATTTTATATTAATAATAACATTTATACAATATATAATTTTATTCTATAAATTTTATAGATTTCAAATACGACATAAAATATTATAATTTTGATTTAGACTCAATAAGCCTCTTTAAAATGTACATACAAGTAAGAAAGACGAGAAAATTTCATTCTTGACTTCAAGTGAATAAATGTTTGAAACATTTTTAATTCATGATCACATATATTTATAGCTTTAATTGTAAAAATATAAATACTACCTGCCCAAAGGGCAGGGTCTATGCTAGTTTTCTGTATGGTATTTTATGATTTTGTGTGTTCTTTTGTCTGTGTTCTCTGAATGTGCAGACTGACCTCATGGACCTATTGGGTTCTGACTTGCCTGTTGAGAGTGATGATGGGATGAAATTTGCATGGTCTGATGGAATCTTGTTACAGGTAAGCCTTCCTATTTGAGGGCCTGTTCTGTTGACCTTCGATAAGCTATAAGTTCACTTTGCTGTGGTGGGGCAATTAAGTTCTGCTCACTTACTTTTTACTTGTCCTTGCTCAGGCATTGAAGGATGGTTCTTGGGTTCTGCTGGACGAGCTCAATCTGGCTCCGCAGTCTGTCCTAGAGGTACTTGTATTAGATTTAAAGACAACTATCCTTTGTATGCTCTTTCGTTCTAATTATTGGTGTTCTATTTTTATCAGGGCTTGAATGCTATCCTTGATCATCGTGCTGAGGTGTTCATTCCGGAGCTTGGACTTACCTTCAAGTGTCCACCGTCGTTTAAAGTTTTCGCATGTCAGAACCCTTTCTACCAAGGAGGTGGCAGAAAAGGCCTTCCGAGGTCCTTTTTGAATCGATTCACTAAGGTATGTTTATCATACGATAAAGGCCATCTTACTTATCCTGCTTTGGGTAATTGGAGTTGCAATCTGGATCAGAAATTGATCACCAGTCTGTTTATTCCAGGTGTATATAGACGAGCTAGTTGAAGCTGACTACCATTACATCTGTAGTTCACTGTATCCTTCCATTCCTGGACCTTTGCTTTCAAAGTTAATCACTTTCAACAGAAGGTTGCATGAGGACACCATGTTACATCACAAGTTTGGACAGGATGGTTCCCCTTGGGAGTTCAACCTGCGTGATGTACTTCGTTCATGCCAGATAATTGAAGGTTTGTTTAACCCTCATTTCATATGATTTTGTATTTTATCTCTTTGTCCTACTAATTTTTTTATCCTTGAACATGTATTTCAACCTCAGGTGCCTCAGAGAGGTCAAAAGTTGATTGCTTTGTCAACATCGTCTATGTGCAGAGAATGCGTACAGCAGCTGACCGTATTGAGGTCCAAAGGCTGTACGAAGAGGTTTTTGGAGTTAAGCCATCCATAAATCCTTACCCAAGAGTGCAGCTGAGTCCAGAACATGTTAGAGTTGGTTACACAGTCATTCAAAGGAATGGCTGTTCTGCCTTAAAATCCCCAAACAGTGAGCTGAAACTTTTACCTAGCATTCGTCATTGCATGGAAGCTGTTGTTAGCTGTGTTAAGCATCAGTGGTTGTGCATCTTGATTGGTCCGCCATCCTCTGGGAAGACATCCTTGATTAGGCTACTTGCTCAGCTGAGTGGCAACAAGCTGAATGAATTGAATTTGTCAACTGCTACTGATATTTCTGAGCTACTTGGATCCTTTGAGCAATACAATGCTTTCCGCAATCTAAGATTGGTGTTTGCTCAAGTTGAGCATTATGTCACTGAGTACTGCAGTTTGAAGCTGGATGAGCCGAAGACCGAGTTCATCACCAGGAGAAGTGAGATAATGGCCAAATGGCTTACTCTCTCATCGAGCATGGATTTTGTGTCCTTGTCAACTTCCACCTTCATGTGTATCGAGAACTGGGATAGCATTGCTAAATCGTTGAACATGGTGATTGAGATTGTTGCATTGTTAATGTTGGATTTATCAAACAATCTTCTGCCCGTTTCTTGGACATCCAAAGAACTAGACAAAATTCTGAAGTCGATTTCAAAGTTTCAAGAACATCATCATGGGAAGCCCTCTGCCAAGTTCGAGTGGGTTACGGGATTGCTTGTGAAGGCAATAGAGAACGGGGAATGGGTTGTTTTGGAGAATGCAAACCTTTGTAATCCGACGGTACCTCTCCTGCTCATGAATTTTGTTTTTCTCTCTTCTCATACTCTTCAAATATTTTCTGTAACTAGCATGCATTGTCTCGTTGATCTGCATAAAATTTTCTTGCATGCTTCAGGTACTTGACAGAATCAATTCTTTGGTGGAGCCAAGTGGGTCTATAACTGTCAATGAGTGTGGACTTGTTGATGGAAGCCCTCTCATTCTTCGCCCGCACCCCAATTTTCGGATATTTCTCACTGTTAATCCGACCAGTGGTGAAGTATCCCGGGCAATGCGAAATAGAGGAGTTGAAATATATATGATGCAGCCATATTGGCTGCTTGATGAGGCAGAGGGATACAATCATGCCGAGTATGAACTAAAGGATGTTGAGCGACATCTTGTTCTATCTGGTATTCCTGGTGTCAGATTAGTTGAATCAATGGCTAAAGCTCATGTTTATGCTAGAAGGCAAGCTTTGAGCCATGGTCTGGAAATTTCTTATCTTGAGCTTGCACGCTGGGTTCAGCTGTACCAGAAGCTTCTCACAAGTGGAAACCATAATTTGTGGAGTCTCCAGATCAGTTGGGAACACACATATCTCTCATCCCTTGGGGAGGCTGTGGGACGTGACATTATCAGCCATGGGAAAGATATTTATTTATCAGAATCGGTACTGAAGTATGTTTTCTCTCTTCACTCTTCTCTGCAATTACCTGGTGGTTGGCCGGCACCTTTGAGAACCTTGGATTTTGTTTTGCACTCTGAAATGGCTACTGTTAAGCAGAACTGCATGTATTTGGAGACTCTGATCTTGCAATATGTAGGCTGGTCCTCACATAGGCATCCGATGAAAAGTCTTTTAACTCTGCCAAGTAGTGATGTGGCCTTCCTGATGAATGAGCAGCTGATTTGTAAACTTATGTTTCCTGAGACTCCTGAGCAGATGATTCCCAAGTCCTATGTTGACAAACTGGTTGATGTAAAGATGAAGAGACAAGTTTATTATGCTGCCAACTGGACTCTTGAACAGGCTACCTTGAAGGATTACAAGCTGTATCTTCTGCACCTTAGCTGGCTTAGCTCTAAAGTGAAACCTTTTAGCCTGTTCATTAGTTCATTACTGGAGTTACTTGAGAAGGAATTCAAACATCCTATTTGGGAGTGCATTTTCAATTCTCACCGCAGACTAGCCACTCATCGTAACAGAGATCTGTCTTTACAATCAAAACCATTGCTTTCTCTCGATTTTTCTGATGTTTCTGCATCAGATGGTGGGTTGAATGAACATGTTCTGCATAATGCTGTTAACTTGACAGGTCTCCTGAGGCAGTCACACCAGCAGTGGGATTCGCAGAACAGACATCTGTTTGTTAATGAAGCTCATTGTTTCAAACCAGTTCTTGAGTCTCTTCAACAGCTAGAAGAAGAAGTGCTTGAGAGACTTGTTGAATCTGAATTCTATGAACTACTGCGAACATTGTATTCAGACCTTATTGATCACCATGTTGCATTTTGGGAGGCTTTTATGTCTTCAAAAGTTGAGGAATTGTTGATCTCCTGGCAATGGCTAGTGAAGGATATATCCAACTTGCGAAATTTCTTCCCTAGGATAGCAGAAAATGTTTTGCTGGTATGTTAACTTTCACTTATATATTTCCCTCTTATCATGTTCATTGAAGCGAACTCAGATTCATCTGCTTGCTGCAGATTGCTAGCAGGAATCTTGATAGGTCTTTCCATCAGCAGTCAGAGCAGTCTCTGTTATGGGTTAATGGGGGTCATCCCATTTTACCATCTTCAGCTACTTTGTATGACAAACAACAAAAGCTATTCGATCTCTGTCAAACCATTTGGCCCACAAATATAAATCCATTCCAGCGTGGTATGGCCTGTTCATACTTGCTTGTAGATTTTCCTTCTGTCTTCTCTCTATTAATTTCTTCTGATCATGTTGCAGAAAACGACCATCTTGTTGAAGTATTAGCTTCTACGATTGCTGAGCTTCGTTCCCTTGGTCTGCAAGGTAATATTTTCTGGTGTTTATGTGCTTCCCACTTTTTGAAATTTACCTCTGCTGCCACGTATCTTTTGTAGTAGCAGACGTTGCATTTTATTCTGTTGACCACTGGTTCTGAAGGTTTCTCCGCTGACATCTCCAGTTGTGCGAGTGGTTTGTAGACCATTGCAAACACCACCCTTTCCCTGATGACTAATGTCACTCCAATATCTTAGATACATTCAGCTGCCTGGTTTACTGATTTGTGAACAACAAAAACTTTTTGGGGATTGTCAACCTGCTCTTATGTGCATACAAGCAGTACACTAGGGGTCGCAGAAAGCGGTTGTTGATATCATTAAAATTACCATATCTATTGTCATCCTTCAGATATACAGTCTCTACTCTTACATTATGTACTTGCATTCAGAGGACACTGATAATTTTCACCTTAATTGCAAAGTCATTTCCTTTTGGAAAGCTTGTGTTGTGTCCTCAACAATCAGTTCTTTTATTTCAGGCATATGCATGTCTCTGTATATAGCAAACAAAAATGATGAGGACGGCACAGATATCGTTGGGCAGTTGGATGAGATGAATCAGGTTCACTGTACTTACTATAGATGATAGAATTGTTTGCTTTCTTTGTACTTTTTTACTCATTGTTTGTTGGGTTGGCAGGTACTTCGCAAGCGGTACTTGTTTGAAAAGAAAAAGTTGGAGGTGAAAGTCCAGGCGAGTGATAATGCGACTGCTGACGGGAGTCCAACTTATTGTTGTGTGATTCGCCCTGAACTCTTGTGGCTGCAAACGGGTCTTGTTGGTTGGCAAGAGACAATTCCTATCGTTGACAATGCAAGTTTTTTCCTTGACATGGAGATATTGGAAAAGCTTTCACTTCTGATTCTGAATAATCCCAGAGCATTGCAACTGGTAGGGGCTTGTAGATGACATTCATCTTAACATTGGCCACCCTATTTCTGTTCTTCATCCTCCTATTGTTGGTTGAACTGCTTTATTCTTTTTATGTTGGAAAAAGAAAAGATGAGGTGCCAGGTTGATTGTTATGGTCCTTGTTATGACAGGAGTTGGCTTCAGTGACTTCACTGCTGGAGCATGCCTTAAAATACTCCAGGATTTCGGGAAGACCTCCACAGAATTTCATACCACACCAGAAAATACTGTGGATGTTTGATGCTTGGACATCCGTTCATGAAGGTTTGTGACATGTGATGTTTTGTGTGTGTGTGTGTGTGTTTGGTTTTGTTGTGCTGACAACTGTGAATTTTTTGCCTAGCAGTAAATTCACGAATTACCAGCTATGTTCTTGAAATGTGGTTCTGGTGGCATTCTTCCTTGTGGAACCACTACCCTCCTTTTATTCAGGTATGCATGGAATTGGTCTAGATACTATCACACAGAAGATGGTAAGGCTCAAATATGTGTATTTATGCCCACTCTTTTCTGCAGGAGTTCTCGAAGTTTGATGACTATGATCTTCCACTTCCACATATGCTTCTTCAGCCGATTAAGATAGCAACTGTTGCACAGATTCTGTGAGTGCAATTATATCTAGGAAGTTCGACAACCTTGACTATGTCATTATAAACCTTCACGAAGGCACATAACTTTTGCTTGTTTTTTATTTCTGAATGAGAGAAAAACTGGTGTGGCATAGATTGTGCAATTGTTTAGATAAACAGAATGCTTGTTTCCTGTCATATGATAGTTCCCTAGGAAAATACGACAGCTATCCTTAACGTGGAGACAGAGCATATTCTACCTAGGTGGTCTATGCTCTTTCAGTCTGTGTGTCTTGGTTTTTATCTTTTAAGAGTTTTATAACAAGCATATAAAATGTAGCATTTATGTTAGTCTTGTCTTTTCACACTCGGCCGAGTAGTTATGTCGACATTGTCTCTTTTTCAATTCAAAATCTGTAATCAGGAGGGGCAAGGGTACTGTTAAGGATTATTTTGCACACTGCTTGAAGCTTGAAGCTGCTTTGTGTTATCTATGGCAAAGTCCCCAAATAGGATCCGGTGTTTCTGGATTTCTGTTGTCTGCTGCGAGTTCCCTCTTCCAACAGGTATTTTGGTACCATAAGTCTGCCAATTCACTGTTTCTCGCGTTATCAAGCAATGTATATGTAGCTATACTGTTTCTCGAGTTCTCTAACAGCATATTTCTCTTATGATGTTTCACTAGATCATCCATGCACATGAGGAGACGTTTGATTCTGATACTTTTGCTGCAATTGCGAGAATGTTTTCCACTCTCCAGAAGAATATTGTAAAGGTATGCTTCTTGTAAGTACTACGGCCCTAATGGTAATTATTTTGAAGCCGTACTGACTGTGCTTAAATTCTATTGGTGCAGCAAACTGACCTAGAACAGCTGAGCTCCCTTGTTATGACATCGAAACATCGAAAATTGACGTCCCTGCATTTCCTGATTGAATCAGTGCTCAAAGATCTCTATCTTCATCGTTCATCAACTGGTAATTTTGCCTGCTGGTCATACCCACTCTATGATTGTTTTGTGCCAGCTGGATTTTACTTTCTTGCTCATGTTTGCTTTGACTTAATTTTATCTGTAGTTGCAAACATGAACGTTGGGTACACTTGGTTGAGGATCGGGCTGTTGCGGTTCAATCTCTTGATCAGCACTGATGACTTGGATCCTATGATGGAATATTCATACAAGTTTGCGCTGCTAGAAGATAAGATCTCATCACTTGAAGTCGAAATCAAGGTTGGGAATTTGATGGTTTTCTTTGTCTATTGTAATCACTGTTTTCCTTTTTGCGGTTTTAAAATATTCGCTGCTGAGTTTCAACGAAGTATATTTCCTGCCTAGTTTGTGTTGTTAATTGTTTGTTCCTGTCTTGCATTGCTTGCCTGATTATCAACTCCTATGGGTATCCAAATTCCTTTACTTCATGAAGCTCTCGTGGATGTATGTAAACCATAACTGGTATCTCTTGTTGTAGGTGCGACAAGAATGTGACTACTTATCAGGATGGGCTCAGTCAAGAGAGGCTCATGAAAACAGAAAGGGGGAATTGGAAAAGCTTAAACTTGAGCATAAAGTGCTTCAAAGCAAGGTCGGAAAGCTTATTTTCTAATCTTTATTTGAACCAATAAGTGTGTGTGTGTGATCTTATTGCTTCTCGTTCTAACTTACCATTTGTATTGTGGTCAGATTGTGTTCCGCAGCAATCCCTTAAAATTTAAGGCATTTAGGAAAGAATGCAAGGATTTCAATAAATCTGTGATGGCAGTGATGGATTTTACAAGCAATATTGATTCTAGAGAGTCGGAACAAGTTATTCTTCAAGTGTGCAACTGGCAGGTACGTTGGTACCGAGTGTGGAAAATTGTATCTAGGTCAGCTTTACTATTATCTTAATGCTGGTTCTCTTTTATCCTACAGAAAACAGCAAAGTCTTTTATTGAGCGGCTGTCAGATGAATATAAAGAGTACATCGACCTAGCTCAACCAGTTCAGGTGGCACTATATGAAATGAAATTGGGCCTGTCATTAGTTTCTTCAGCTGCCTTGAGTAAAGACTTACTGCGCAAGATCAATGAGGATAATCTGGAACTCCTTTTGGTACTAATGTGCTCTTATATTTTTGATCGTAAAATTAACAATTATTTTCATCTAGACTTTGTCTGCAACCTTATCACCAGTTACTTATCTATACTACAGGATTCAATTTATTCATTTCTGAAATTTCCTCGAAGAGATGGTCTGGAGTCAATTTCTTCTATTGATCTCGGTATTCCTACAATTTCCTGGGACTTGAGAATAGATTTGCTGGAAAAACTTGCTTCCATCTCAAGGGATGTTGATGGTGGGAGAGTGGTATTTATTTGCCGACGACACTGTTTCTTTTTATTGTTATTTCTCTTTGTTGTGCTACTGTTAACATGGTCTCAACTAATGAAGGCATCTAATTTTCTCTTGAATTAATTCAGGTTGCCGATTGAACTTAATGTTGTGTGCTCATGCATTAAATGCTTGTTGAATTGATAACAGGTCTCTGTATTGCAACGCAAAGCTGCAATTTATCATAATGTTCTTCTGCGTGTGGTACACCTCCTAGCCGTGAGCCAAAGGATTGATGATGCTTCTTTCAAGGTGAGATGTTTCTTGGAGCAATTAAACAGAAATGAGGTTTTGGTCTGGATGATAGTCATTTAACACGCGTATCCGCATCAGATGTTGGACAAATTGTTCAGGGGCTTTGCTATTATGTGGATGGATATGAAAGCTGAAGTCCAGGATAAAGAAGGGCTCAATGCTCAACAATACAAGTTCAAGCCCCGTGCGTTTGAGATCCAGAATGTTATTGATGCTGATGTGTCAATGCTAGCAAAATATTTCTCAAATGATAGCTTCTCGGAATTAAAGGAGCTGCTTTCTGAAGAAGATGAATCTTCGGAAAAGGTGATTTCATGTATAAATTGTTTCTTGCTTGTAAATTACACACCTCCCTCTCTCTTCATCATCCTTTTTGCTTTTTCCTCTTGATTTTATTTAAATTCTTTGTCAACCCAGATACATACTAGCGAGGACCATGGAAGTTTGGAGGAAGAGTGGAACCTCATGCAGGCGCCTGTCCTTGACAGCATGATCCATTTCCATAACCAACTATTTGGATCTGTTGACCTTATTAGTTGTGTAAGTTAGACTATACTCTTTTATTTCTGGTTTTGAGTCCTCAACCATTTCATGCTATGTTATTGATGCTGTAGAAGTATTTCAGCTGCACGAGGTTTGAACCTTGAGGGTGATTTTTTAAATACCAATAAAGGGAATACTTATATTATATTAAGTTGAGTTGAGCACTCAAAAGTAGGATCATGATAGATCTTTGATTGTAGAACATGTTTCTAAAACAGAGTGAAAGGGGGTTAGTATGTATCACGGGCACGTACCCAAGAAAAATCTTTTCGTGTTTTATTTGTCTGAAGTCCTATCATGCAAGGTTTCTTATCGTTAGCATCGCGTGTGTTTGAACACGCCCATGCTCATATGATGATGATAGCACTTCTTAATTGTTTTTACTAATAATTGCTTGATTTTCAGTTAGGGACTTTCCACATATCAGATACGGATAAATGCACTTCATTCATCAACTCTTACGATCTGGGAGCAAGCATGATTAGAGGTAATTTGCTGCTTTATTTACTTCCTTATTGATGCATGTTTTCGATATCACATCTAACAGACTTTTATTTCATAATCTCCAGGCTTGGGAGGTTTGTTTAGTTCCTCCCTGGATGCTAAACTTATTCCAGAACATATGTTTCGCCTTTGTTTGGATCGTGAAAGCAAGTGCCCGTCCATTCGTAGAACGTCTAGCAAGTACAAATATTACAAGGTTCTCTGAATTCTGTTTTTATATTCACTTCTGACAAATTTAGATCTCGTTTCCTTGGATGTTATCAGCACTCTTGTTATCATATGTCTTTTCTTTATTGATATTTATTAGACTTCGTATGTATGACTCATCTCAACTGTATCACTTGACTGGTCCAGGATTCAAATGCTCCTAATCTAGCTAAAATGGTGAAGCTGCTGAGTGCACTTCAAGATAAAGTTGTTTCACTCCTAAATCAGTGGGAGGACCACCCTGGTCTTCAAAAAATATTGGATGCAGTTCAGTCACTGTTGGTTATTCCTATGGAAACACCGTTGGCCAAGGTAGCAGTCAACCAACACTGTGTTCCATGCAAATATGATCCTGGACACAAGCAACCATGATTGACATTGTCTTCTTCTTATGAGATTTATTCCTTATTTGCAGGCTCTTTTAGGATTACAACTACTTCTTCGTAGGGTTATTGCTTTGCAGGAGAATGGATCAAAACTTTGTCTCTCTGGTACCCAACTTAGTGAAGACTGTTCATTTTGTTTATCTCTGAAAGTCGCTGTTTAAATGAGCTGTCAATTTGTTGTGGTTAACACGTAACATTATCATATTTCTTTTGAGTGCAGATGAACTGGAACCTTTAGTTGCTTTGGCGCGCTCGTGGCAAAAGATGGAAGTTGACTCATGGGCTGTGTTGTTGGACGAGGTGCAGGAGCAGTATGATACTAATGCTGCTAAGGTAAAGAGCAGCGTTTTTTGTTTGGGATGTGTTGGTAGCTCTGAAAATCTATTTATGTTTGATTCTAATTTCATGTCTTCAAATTCTTTCTGCAGTTGTGGTTTGCCCTGTCTTCAATTTTCCACCGGAGTCATGCTGGTGAAGTTGCTGTATACGAGCAAACAACAATAGAAAGGCAGGCTTATTTCAGTTGTGTAGATTTCAGTGGTGCAGTGAACTCCAAAATGAAATGTTGACTAAGATTGTTATATATTGCAGCATCGAGAATTTCGTCCAAACTTCGAGCCTTGGAGAACTCCAAAAGCGACTCCAGTTACTATTGGCTTTCTATGGCCAAATTAGTGTTGGGAGGTGTCTAGAAGTAGACAGTTATGCAAGGTGGTTAGTCCTGCCTTTTCATTGGTTACTGTACCTTTCCATTCAAGTTTTACTTTGTAGGGTGGTTGATCACCAACTGGAATTTAGTATCTACACAATATTGAGCTCTACTTTTTTGAAGAATTTTAATCAATGGCGATGTTTTACTGCTAAGCTTTGTAATTGCACTTGATTCTAATGACTGGACTGGGTTGTGCAGCTTGTTCCAGGAGAGTAACATGAAGATCTTATATAATGCCTTTGGATACTATGTTCAATTCTTGCCAAGGTTGAGTTTTTTCGCATTTTTCATCCGGACTCATTGCAAATGTATTCCATGATATTCTTACCTGCTCTGCTTGCCTAAAATATTTGTGTTACTGGCAGAATATTGGAGCACATAGGTGCTAGTAGAAGAAATATCGAGAAGGAACTGAAAGATCTCACCGGATTATGTAGATGGGAGAAGACAGAGTTAAGCTTGTCTATTGAACAATCAAAAAGAGCGAGGCAGAAAGTGAAGAAGTTAATACAGAATTACACTGTGAGTACCAGAATTGGCCGCCTAATTACTTTTGCTTGTAGGGTCATCTTCTGTCTTTGCTATGCTCCACAGTCATTCTTATGCACTTAAAGGTTTGCCTAATTTCTTTTTTCAAATGGACAGGACATCTTGCAACAACCTTTCATGCTCTTTCTTACTCGAGAAGCGGAACAGAAAGCAAGTGCTGCTCAACCTGAGCTGAGTATAAATGATCTCAAGGAGAGTTCGGAAAAGGGTTCTGTGACATTAAATACGATAGCAGATGAGATAGGGTCCAGGATTGATCATCGGTATGTATTTGTCCGTTTCTTGTGATTCTTTGCCGTGCAATCATCAATTGGTGATCCTTCTGTTATCTTGTGTTATAAAATAGGCACACTTGGTTCAGTGATTGGAGTCAGAAGGTTGAAGCTTCACTGCACTTACTTGTTAGCATGTCTTCGGAATATAACCTTTCAATGGATGCAGGTTTTTCTATTACACTTCTATTTCCCTTGTCCCTTGGCCTTTTATCGTTTTAGCAAGATATATATATATACGGCTTCAGTGCTAGAAACCTAAGAACTTAGAAACTTCTACAGATACGTGCAGTGCTTCTTACCTTTCCGTAGAAGAAGAATGGAATGCTGTGAATCGTACACTTGAGGAGATATGTTCTGCTACTTTTAATTATGATGTCCTGTGGAAGGATATGGAAAGAACCGTAGGTAAAAGGCGGGCATTCGATGATTTACTTAAGCTTCTAGAATCCAGTGGGTTGGATAAGCACAAATTCGAGAAGGTAATTGGAAACTCCTAATGGTGGGCATTATGTTATCATTAATTTATTTGAAGCATAATTAGATCCTTCTAGTTATGATTCCTTTTGTGGTCTTGTAATTGATGCTTGTAGGTCTCCTATAAATCGGATTGGCTGTTTGTCCAGCCATCATTCGATATCAAACATTTGCTGCTGACACATAGTAGACTGCCTTCGAGAGATTCTAATCTTTCTTCCTCTATGATATTGGAAAGTTCTCCCAATGGAAGTTTGGAGATTGAGTGGAAAGTAACAAATGAGTTCTACTTTAAAGGCATTGCAGCTGTGCAGCTCCTGCGGCAGATATGTCTGAATCCTCATCAAGATATCATCCTGGAGAAGGTTGGTAGACGGATTGTATATATAAACTCAAAATAAGCAGCACTATTATGTAAGGCTAGATATAGCATTAAAAGTAATATGGTGACTATCAAATCACCTATTAAAGTATATTGGTGACTTTTACTAGTGACCATTTATTTCTCATTATTCTTAACAGTCTCATTAGTGTTAGTGTATGGCTTATTTATCCAAAAGATATTTTCCCGTAAAGGTTTGTGTTTAATCTTTGCAGGCTAGGCGGGTTGGCTCATTTCTCAATCATCTCTTAACTATCCAACATGAACAGCGTCAGGCAGCATATGATCTCTCTAAGCAATTAAAGTGCCTGCAGAAGTGTGTGTCTACAATGGAAACATTATATTTAAAATCCTTGGATGTCAATGACCAGACTAGTGTGATGTCCTCCATTCCTGAAAACCAGCGTGCCATCTGTAGTTGCATGTGGAAACAGAAGGCAAGTTGCATGAAGTGATATCTTCAAAATTGTGTCTTTTATTTCTAAAGGATTTTGGATAGTTATATGTTGTATTCTTTCACCATTTTGCAGGAACTATTGGATGCTCTGAGCTCCATGTTGATAGAGGAATCATTATTGCTTGAAACTCTGGAAACTGCTCACCTTCAATCTTGTGAAGAAGTGAAGCCTGCAGCAAATCATGTGCTTCAGGTCTTGGACAAGTTCATTCCACTGATCAAGAAGTCCAAGGTACTAAAAAGTTATCTTCTCGTGTTTCCCATCTTCTTTGAAGCATGTTGCAGGTTGGCGGTTGCATGTTGTGGGTGTCTCATGTTTTACTATCTAACAGGAAACACTAGACAAGTATCTTTTGTCCCATGGCGGGATGGTGCAAATCGTTGTGGAGGGATCATTGGATAAATATATTCTTGGTCAAGTTGGCCATATAACTGAGGCTGGGCCTTTCTATCCTTATGTTGTATCTGGACAAATGACACAATCTCTCTTCACAAATTTCCAAGTCATTAGAGAGTTTGAAAACCATCTCCTTGATCTCCGCAAGCGAGGTTTAAGTAAAACCGCAGTCATAGGGACCTTGCTTTCTCACTTTAATGGTGTCTTTGAGAAGGTATTTTCTACTTTCCTTACAGGTTACTTTGACTTGAAGTTGAATACTACTAGTTTTAGTTAGCGTATTAACAAGATGCTGGGACTTAAAACCATTATTACAGGGGAAGCTGTTGGCTGAGGAGCTTGATTGCGCACTAAAGACTAGGGACGATTCAGTGAACATATCTGAAGCGTCTACTTCTTCTGAGCTCAACACTTTCTGGCAGTCCTTCGAACGAACGCTACAGCTAGCCAACAGTGCGATGACAAAGCAACAGTCTCTAAGCGATGGACATGTTATTTCCGAAGAGTCTATTGGGAGCATTACATCATGGGAATCTTTATTTAGATCATCCGTGGAAAATCTCAATTTGCCAGATCTATGTAAAAGTCTTCTACAAACCATTTGCAACAGCGTAAGTTTTGTATCTTTGCCTCACTTGAGAGTTTGTGTTGATAATCTTGGTAGTTTGGTCTGTATCTTATTTAATGTGGTCTTTGCATAGCAAAATCTGCTTAGCCAATCTGGTGGTACTTCTCGCTTGGGACGGTGTTTTGAGCAATTACACACAATTATGGATGTGGTCTTGAGTCTTGGTGACACGTTGCTTTCAGATCTTGTGGGGATGAACAGAACTGTAAGTTTTTACTTTTCCCAGTGTCGTTTCTTGCAATTATGTACTAATAGTCGTGTTAATAGCAGTTTGTAACCCATGTTCTGCATTGTTTTATAGGTGTCCATAATGACTCGGGAATTGGCAGATGTTCTCGCTTCATTATTCTCCAAAGGCTTCCGTACCCCTTCGAAGGATGAGGTTGATGAGAATGGCGCTTCTCAAGATGTTAGTGGAACTGGCTTGGGAGAAGGTACAGGACGTAATGATGTCAGTGATGAGATAACTGACGAGGAGCAATTGCTTGGAACGAAAGAAAAGGTGCAGCCTTTTCTGTTCCTTAACTTTGACCTCATTATTTCCTTGAAATGGTTGACTAGCTTGTTGACTTTTTTCACGTATTTAATCCAAACTCTAGCAGGAGGAAGACCAAAATGGCAGTGGTGAAGTTCCCAATAAGAATGAGAAAGGGATAGAGATGGAGGAGGACTTTGCTGCGGACACATTTAGTGTCAGTGAAGACTCTGGAGAAGAAGAGGAGAATGACGACAACGAGGAAGAAAAGCTGGATTCTGCAGTTGGAGATGCTGGACCGGACAGTGAGGCGGTCGATGAGAAGCTTTGGGACAATGAGGAAGACGAAAATCCTGAGGACAAGAAGGAAAAGTACGAAGCTGGGTCATCTGTCAAGGATAAAGATATGAGCAATAGAGAACTCAGAGGCAAGGATGATTCTACAGATATTCCAAACGAGGAATCCAAAGAGCTGAATGGTGATGATCTCAATAACGAGAAAGATGATGAGGGTGATGTGGATGAATCTGGTGATGGGGAAGAGAATGTGGAGGATATGAACTTGGATAAGGATGAAGCACATGCTGATCCTACTGGGCTTAACGTTGATGATGACGTGGATCGACCTGACGAGGAGGAGATGGAGGTAGATGAGAACTCAAATGAGACAAAAGACATGAGTTCTGGTGAAGAAGAAGGTTCGGAGAATGGCGAGGAGGATAAAACAGAGAGTGGAGATGACGAGACTATGCAGGATGCAGATGCTGGACAGTCCGGTGGGACTCCTGAAGAAAAGCTGGAGCATGGTGCTGATGCTGAAGACAACTCTGCTGAGATGAATGCACAGAGTAAGGACGAGCTTGTACCTGGAATGCGGGACCTTATCGGCGAGCAAGCGCCCAATGCAGAATCCGCAACTCAACCGAATGGGGAAGTTCAGGCATCAGATTCTAGGAGTGTGCCTACTGAGGCGAACGTTTACAGCTCTAATGCCAATGTTGCTCCATTGAGGAACGTGCCTTCCGGTGCTAACTCCAACATGGAGATCATGGTCTCTGACCCATCAGATAAGGGGCAGCTAAACGGGGATCAGAACAACGCCCAACCGCCTGAGGAAGAGTCTTCGTCGTTTAAGAAATCCCAACCCAATCCTTATAGGAGCATTGGAGATGCGTTTGAGAAATGGAAGGAACGGGCGAAAGTGTCAACTGATGATATAGCCTCAGAGGCTCCCCCTGTTGAGATGGAGGATAAGAATGCCAACGAGTATGCTTACGTGTCAGAGGCGGAGAGAGGGATGGAACAAACATTAGGACCTGCGACTCCTGATCAGGTCGATGCCAACATCTTGGGGAATAAGCAGGAGGATAGTTCTGCTGCAGGTCAAGAGGAGGAAGATGACACAAATGAGACTGAAATTGATAGGAATCTTGAACCTTCCTCGGCGGCTGTGTTGAAAGATAAGATGGAGCAGCATTTGCAGGTTTCAGAGGTTGGAAAGTCGAAACAAGCAGAGGAAGATGTTGAGATGCCAGATTATAATACGCACACCGAAGTGGGAAGTTCATTGCAGAATCTGGTCTCGATCAGGAATCCGGCAGCGCTTAGTGATGGTGTCAGTCGTTTTGATGAGCTGGCGATTGGTGATGACAGTGAGTTGGGGAAAGCGGTGGATGGAGATGCTGTGAATTTAAATACCAGGGGAGGTACTGGTGATGCGTGGAGGAGGTATGAATTGCGTACTACAAGGTTGTCTCAGGAGTTGGCTGAGCAGTTACGTCTTGTTCTGGAGCCCACGGTGGCCAGCAAGCTTCAAGGCGACTATAAGACCGGGAAACGAATCAACATGAAGAAGGTAATTTATCATCTTAAGCAATTGCAAAACTATGCAGGTGCAGTTCTGTTGGGCTGTTTATTGTTTCTCTTTCTAACTCTTTCCTGCAACTGAGTTCAGGTGATTCCATATATTGCAAGCCACTACCGTAAAGACAAGATTTGGCTGAGACGGACTAGACCTAACAAGCGTGATTACCAAGTTGTTATTGCGGTGGATGACTCGCGTAGTATGTCAGAGAGTCGTTGTGGGGATGTTGCAGTTGAAGCTCTGGTTACAGTTTGCCGTGCCATGTCTCAACTTGAATTGGGCAACTTTGCTGTCTCAAGCTTTGGAAAGAAGGGGAACATCAGGTTGCTGCACGACTTTGAAAGGCCATTTACTGGAGAGGCAGGGCAAAAAATAATTTCCAGTTTGACGTTTAGCCAAGAGAATACCATCATCGATGAACCAGTTGTGGATCTGTTGAAGTACCTGAGCAACTTGCTAGACACTGCAGTTGCGAGGGCTAGGCTTCCTTCTGGACAAAACCCACTGGAGCAGCTTGTCTTGATTATTGCAGATGGTCGGTTTCACGAAAAGGTACAATTCCTTTTAAGCTTAGTACACACTGAACTCTCAGCATCCATTTCACGATAGCTTATGGAATAGTTGTCCAATCCTGTAAACAGGAGAAATTGAAGCGCTGCGTCAGAGACTTCTTAAGTCAGAAGCGAATGGTTGCATTTCTGCTGTTGGACAATCCTGAAGAATCTGTCGTTGATCAATTGGTAAGTGCTTCTACTTTTCGTATTGAAGATGCTAAACTAGTCCTTTGCTTGTGGTAGAAGAATGAATCCATCTGATGCTCTGACATTCTGTCCCTCGATCTTATGGTTATCAGGTGGCGACGTTCGTGGATGAAGGCGACAAGGGAAGGCTCAAGATGGCAAAGTACATGGATTCTTTCCCTTTCCCATACTACATTGTGTTGAGAGATATCGAAGCTCTTCCAAGAACCCTCGCAGATCTACTAAGACAGGTACATCAACAAATCCGCACGAAAAGATGGTTCCTCTTTTTTCTACTTGAGCTAATTTGTGTTCAAAGTTGCCTTGTACTTCAAGAAATGTGCGCGGACTGACTTTCTTGTCAATGGTTTACTTTGGATGTTGCAGTGGTTCGAGATTATGCAGTCCTTCAAGGAGTAGATTGTTCTTGGGGGTCTAGATGTTTCTCAGCTGGTGGGAATTGCGAAGGGAGGTATTTGGTTATAAAGTATAGGGCACCTTCTCTTCTTTCATTCTTTATCGCTGATATCGAGTGTAATTAGGCAGCCAATCGTAAGATAAACTTGTATGGTTTGCCTTTTTTGGTAGTGTAAATATTCCTACATTCTAAATGAGTAACGGATTCCCTCTCCTTCAGCGAGGAAGTTTTGCTTCACTTTCAAATGAGTGCTTTCGCGAATCCCATGAGAGACGGGAGGTGTGATCAGCCGATCAGGTGCTTAGTACAGGTCATCTTGTCCTTAGATTTAAACACATTAAGAGTTTAAGACCAACTTTAACGTTAAATTTGGCTCTCCAAATAGCTTTCCAAATCCCATTTTCATTCCAACCATACAAAAAGCAAAATTTAGCTTTCTACCTCCTTTTTCAATTTATTTCAATAAACTATACTTATTCGACCTCTAATTTTTATATTTTACTTTAATTTTTTTATAGTTAGTTATTACTTTTGAAAACAAAAAATTTCATGTAATTTTTTTTAATTTTGAGACAAAAAAGTTTTGAAAAATTAATCATTATTTTGTTACCATTAACTTCGGTACCAATGAGAAAATATCAATTAAACATACAACATTCCATATCTTCTTTCAAACAATTAAATAATCAAAATACACAGTCAACCAATGACAAAATACCACACAAAAAGCAAAAAGAAAAACAAACACAATCAACCAATGAGAAAATCTCACCGAAAAAAGCAAAATATAAAAAATAAAGGAGGACCCGTCTCTGGTCCACCATTTCCTCTAGCCAAATTTGGCTTTTCCACCCATTTGGAAAGCTAAATTTGGCTCCCAATTCACCAATACCCATTTTTAGCTCCCTAAAATTATGTGGGTTGGAGCACCAAAAGAGAGCTAAATATGGGTAATTAGCTTTTTAGCTCTAGGGTTGGAGTTAGTCTAATATAATGGTTAAAAAGTCGGAAGAGCTTTTTAATTAGTCATAGGTCTTTCAAGATTTACAAACAATATGAAAATAATATAAAGCATACGAACTATACTAATAATACAAACTATACAAAATAGAAAACCAACATAGTAAATTTTTTAGGTTTCGACTTTATATAGGGGTAGGAGTGGAGGTCGGTTACTTTCGGTTATAACCGGTAACCGATCGGTCGATCATCCAAAAGGTCGGCCCCCAACCGACAACCGACCGAAATAGGCTTCGGACATCTCGGTTATCGGTTAACCGCACCTCCTCCAAGACCAATACCATCTCGTCCAGCTTTCGAAAATCGGCCGAATTTCGGTTATATCGATTACCGATTAGTGGATAACAAACATACAAACTATACAAATTACATTTGCAAACCATACTAACTAAATTTACAAACAATACAAACATACAAAATGGATATACAAACAATACGAAACATACAAAATGGAAAATAACATGGTTAACTTTTGAGCTTCGTCCCTATATAGAGGAATTTTGTACCAAAGTCAATCAGGTTATCTTTTATTCATATAAACATTACAAATATGATAGACAAAAATGACGAAATATACACACATTACAAAAAAAAAATTGACAAACGTTACCAAAATGACAAAGCCTACAAACATTAAAAAAAAAAGAAATTGACAAACATTACAAAACATACTAACCGTACAAAATACCAATACCTACAATAAAAATCAGTAAACTTGTATTACAAACCAATATATGCAAAGTATACATATAATGAAATAAAGTGTACAAGCTAAACAAAAAAATATTACAGATTACGATATGTACAAATTAATTATATATACATTATAAACATAATAGACAAAATGACAAACTAGAATGATAAACAGTATAAACCGAATTGATATAATCATTACAAATGGTACTTAGAAACATTACATGATAGTCAGACAAACATCACAAATTTGGTGCCGCCGCCAGAAAATCCTCCTCGAACGTAAGAAATCTCTCTCTCCATTAAATGAGATCCATTTGAAACCATTTTATTTAAATAAAGTTGAAAGGCTGAGATTCACATAGTCATATGATCCTAGCCTTGAGAGATGGTGCCATCGAGCTGAGCCAGTGCAGCTTCAAACTCGAAGAAGCCCAAAAATTACATATATGAAAAACCCATATTGTCATCTTCCTCTGTGAACGAGGATTCTCCGTCGTCTTCATTCTGGAAATCTGTTTCGCGAGTTTAGCGAGTTTAAGGAAAAAGGAGGAAGGGTTAGAGAGAGTTGGGTTGGTCGAGAAGGAAAGAGGAAGGATTAGAATTGGAACAACAAGCACAAAAATAGTGAAATTTTTTAAAATAGTGTGAAATCCTTGAAGGGTAGGTTTTCGACATTTCCGATAGTCAAAATCCATCAATTTTTTCTTAGCCTTCCCAAATGTAAAAATATATTGACATTCATGAGGGATAGGGATTGTAGCAAAATCCTTCCCAAATTTCCTAATTCAAACAATCACTTAAACAGTTCCGCAAATACCAAAGTGGAGGGGTGGTAAAGTTTTAACCGATTATCGGTTAAAATCGATAATCGAACTGATAAAGATGGTTAGTGGTTAACTGATAATTTATTAGTGGTTTAGTTTCAGTTAGCTGTATTTTGCTTAGTGGTTAACCGCTAAGTGACTAATCGGTTAGTGGTTAATAGATAAATGCATACTAGTAAAACCTACTTTCAAAAAAATTACAAGTAAAACCACATAATTTTATGTTGGGTTATAGGTATAATATGCCCCTCTACTATGCAGTTTTATCAAACATGTCTCTCTATTATTTTTTTACATCAAACATGCCCCTATACTTTGTAAAAATGATCAAACATGCCCTTATGTTAAAATTTGCATCCAAAAACCATCAACCATGGTTGAACCTTGGTTTGGGCGACACCTATGTCTAAAATATTCCTAATAATTTCACTTTAGAATTGTTTTGTTTCTTTTGTATAGCCAAATACCTATGATAATTTCACTTTAACGAGATCTGGAGAAATAAATGAGGAGGAAAAACTGGCATTTCACCCCCAATTTTTTTTTGACGTCGGGTCGTGTGAATCTCGGTTCAACCGTGATTGACTATTTTTAATGGAAATTTTAACATAAGGGCATGTTTGATAATTTTTCCAAAGTATAAGGGCATGTTTGATGTAAAAAATAGTAGATTGACATGTTTGATAAACGTCATAGTAGAGGGGCATATTATACCTATAACCCTTTTATGTTTTGGCTTAGGAGAAAAGTTTCATAATTCAAAACCAACCACTTTTGCAATTCCAAACATCTCAATTCCCACCTATTGTAAACAACCCTCCACCCAAAATCTCAATTTTGTTTTGAGTTAGAATCGGAAAGTCACCCCTCTATGATTCCCCTTTGTAGTCGAGAGAGTAACATTGCACCCTAGTGATTTTTGTTTCTTTGATTTTTGTAAATGATGGTGATCTTATGGTTCTTTTGTTTGATGACTTAATAATTGGTATCCGCTAAGTGGATAAAGATGTTTGATTATTTAATTTTATTCATTGGAATTGGATTATGAATTCACAGTGAATGCTGTATTATATTGATGTTATTTCTACGATGATTATTAAAAAAAATGACATCGTACAAAATTTCAAAATAACAATCACATGTGTATGTTGTTATTGGTTAGTGATTAACCGCCAAAATAACCACAAACCGAACCAATAACAAGCAATTAACCAAAAAGTCTTATCAATTCAATTTTTACTATGCATTTTATGCTTAGTGATTAACCCAAACCAAACCGATTAACGGTTTCAATCTACGGGCCTATATTTTCTTCTTTTAGTTCAGTTAGTAGATTACTCTTGTTGGTCCAATATATTGGCCCAGCTCAAACGGAGCCCAGCATTCTCTCCGCAAAATTTGGTCCGACGTCATACGTGGGTCCCGCCATCATCAACATTCAGTTTGTCCTTTCTCGTGGATTCCACTGAACGACTGTCGTCTTTCTTCTGATGGCTCCAAAAACAAAAACAAAAAAAGTTCCACCAATTTCTCCCCTCCCATTACCTCCGTCTACCGCACCACGGCCAAGCCAAATGCGAATTTAAAAACACTGAACGAGAATTCCCACAACTAACCAGCATTCCCTCCGCACCCGAACACCATCGGACGTCCGGTCATGTGGCGACGAAGCTTCAGCACCGGCGCGGCCGCCTCTCGCGCACTAACCGGTAAGAAATTTGACGCTCTGGTGATCGGCGGCGGCCACAACGGCTTGACTGCGGCTGCCTACCTTGCTCGAGCAGGCCTCTCCGTCGCCGTGCTGGAGCGCCGTCACGTGCTCGGCGGCGCCGCCGTTACGGAAGAGATCATTCCAGGATTTAAATTCTCTCGCTGCAGTTACCTCCAGAGCCTCCTCCGGCCTTCCGTCATCAAGTAATCGCCGAAATTGTCAACTCCTCTCTCATTTTGCCATGTACTAGATGATATTTTTTGTTAGCTGAAAGTATCGAATCGTTTGCGATTGAGAGCAGAGAGTTGGAGCTGAAGAGACATGGATTGAAGCTGCTAAGGAGAAGCCCGTCATCGTTCACGCCGTGTGTGGATGGACGCTATCTTCTGTTGGGACCTGATAAGGAGCTCAATCGCTCTGAAATCTCCAAGTTCTCTAGTCGCGACGCGGAAGCTTATCCAAGGTGCCAATGGTGTCCCTCTTTTTGCCCTCCAGTTTGAAACTAATTGAGAGACACAAGTCCTTTATTCCCAGCTTTATCGATTGCTGATATGCAGATATGAGAGCCAACTTGAAAGGTTCTGTGAGTTCATGGATCCACTCTTGGACGCACCTCCTCCAGAATCTCTGCAGAATACTTCATCAATTGCTGATCGATTGAAGGACAAATTGCACAAATCCGCTTACTGGACTCGTTTCTTGCGGAGCGGTCTCTCCTTGGGGCAAAAGGATTTAGTGTAAGATCAGATCGCCTCACTGTTTTGGCTCTCGTCTAGTTAGCTTGAATAAGTTGATTATGATGCTTGATATGTGCTTCGAATTCGACAGCGATTTCATGGACCTTCTGCTGGCCCCGGCTTCAAAAGTTCTAAATAACTGGTTTGAGGTAATCAGAATGTTTATGTTGTACTCAACGTTCATCCATCCTGAGTTTAGTAATTATGCTGAACACTTGACGATAGGATACTATTAGTCTTTATCGGCTTGTTGACTTTCTGCCACTTCATTATAGGCAGAGGTTCTAAAGGCGACTTTGGGAACGGATGCTATTATAGGTACTACGGTAAGACTCCACCAACGTGGAGATGTATTTAGATTAATATTGAAGAGAATCCTCATTAGACCTGTTATTGTTGACCAATTGAAGCATTTGGAGTTATATGTTCCAGGGTAGTGTCCACACACCAGGAAGTGGATATGTTCTGCTACATCATGTGATGGGAGAAACCGATGGGGATCGTGGAGTTTGGTCGTATGTATTGTAGTTGGTTATTCGACCAATGACTGCTTCGATCAGTTTCAATGAAAGATACTAAAAAACTTACCTCCTTATTGTAGGTATGTTGAAGGAGGAATGGGTTCAGTATCCCTTGCTATAAGTAAAGCTGCTAAGGAAGCTGGCGCTCATATTTTGACAAATGCAGAGGTAACATTTTGTGGAATATGATAGTGACATGAGTCCTCGACTTCAATGTTTATGAATAACTATGCCTTGGTACTTCTTTCCATTTTGCTGGATGAGTGGTTAGCTATTCTTCTAGCAGAATATTTTGTGCTTAAAGCTGGAGTGAAAGCAGAGTTAGTGTGTTACGTGAGAACTTACTGCTCTCTTTCTTTTTGGCATAGGTTTCACAATTAATCGTCAACGACTCTGGTGCAACTAGTGGGGTTTGTTTCAATTTTGGACCCTGTTAATGAATTGGCCCAAGGGAAGGATTTCAAAACTAATTGGAGAGATGTTGAATGTTGGTGTTATTTAGGTGGTGCTGGCTGATGGTACAGAAATACTCTCTTCAATGGTTCTTTCAAATGCTACGCCTTACAAGACCTTCATGGTATAAGCCTTTCGCTCATCAACATCTGTTATAATTATTTAGTTGAAGGAAATAGTTACCTAATTGTCACTTTTTGGGCGAGTAGGTTATTACAATATGTTATGCTTTTTTTATCCCAGGAATTAGTGCCCAACAATGTTCTTCCAGATGAATTTACCAGTAATTTGAAGCATTCTGACTATAGCTCTGTAAGCATACCACTTGGGTAATTTTAGGTTGTTCTGGAGGCTTGTATATTCCTGCCTTTTTTATTTGGACTCTCTTGTTTGGTGTTCCCACAAACTGATAAGGCAACTACAAAAATAAACCTGGCTGTTGATGAACTACCCAAGTTTGAAAGTTGCAAGTTGAGCCATCCTGATGCCGGGCCTCAACATATGGGCACTATTCATATTGGTTCAGAGAGGTATGATATTTGCTTGAGAATTATTCGTCTTCATTCTTGTGTTATCCCAGTACAAAATCCTTATAAAGTTTAACCTACAGGGAGAATGGATAGGAAGATTAGTAATTTAGATTCATCCTTTAGGCCTTCATTTATAGCCCATATTGAGAGGATTATCGATATTTTGTTTTTTGTTTTTTTTTTTTTGTTTGTTTTTTCTGCTTTGATCAGAATGGAAGAGATAGATTCAGCCTGCCAGGATGCTGTGAATGGAATACCATCCAGGAGACCAGTTATTGAGATGACAATTCCTTCTGTTCTAGACAAAACCATTTCTCCTCCTGGTATAAATTCATCCTTCTGTATCTTCGCTGCTGTTGACAATACTAATCCTAAAAACGATGACAGAAGGATAAACAACTCCTAGATTGACACGAGGTTGACCTGAGTTTACTCTTTCTCTGTAGGTAAACACGTCATCAACTTATTCGTACAATACACCCCTTATAAGCCATCAGATGGAAGCTGGTCAGATCCTGCTTACCGGGTACATTACTGAACCATCCGTTGTCCAACTAAGTACTCATAGCTTTTTGTTTTGGTCAAATAAAATAGCTTACGGTGGCTATCAGTATCCGCCATCCGGTTACCTGTTAACTGAACCAGTTGTACTTGTTAAATGGCTAACTGTTAACTGGATCAGTAGCCACCTGGATAAAAGCCGCTTGAATTGTGGGGGATTAAGCTGAGTTCCACTGATCTGAGAATACAATCTTTTCTCTGGTTTGAGTAGGAGTCTTTTGCACAAAGATGCTTCAGCTTGATCGACGAATTTGCACCTGGCTTCAGCTCATCAATAATCGGCTATGACATGTTGACACCACCTGATCTCGAAAGAGAAATCGGTCTAACAGGTAAAAACCATTAACCAACATCAGATTATCATTCGTGGGATCACACCGAACCATTAAAATGTTTTTGTAACAGGGGGCAACATATTTCACGGAGCAATGGGGTTGGATTCTCTCTTCCTTATGCGACCGGTGAAAGGATGGTGAGTGAGGCCCTTCCCCTTTTTTTGTGTTGTCATACAAGTTGTTTAGATTCAGACTGTAGTCTTATAACTGTGGGGTGTTGTTACGTATAGGTCAAGCTACAGAACTCCTGTCCAGGGCTTGTACCTATGCGGCAGTGGAACCCACCCAGGCGGCGGCGTGATGGGGGCACCTGGACGTAACGCCGCCAACGTCGTTCTTCAGGACTTCAAGAGACGATGAAAGAAAAGGAATTCCTCCTTCCAAAATGCTCTTTCCAGTGTTGCATTGACAGTTCCAGAATCCATGACTTCAATGGAAGAACTGTGGTTCTATATCTCCCCTCTTGAGTACAGTCGTGAGGATTCTCCTGTTGCTTTGAGTGGAAATTACTCTGGAATTTGAACATCGCCTCAATTTACGTACTATGAGTGAAGTCGTCCAAAGAACATAACGTATTCCGCACCTTGTGTAACATCACAATACAGGCTAAGTACAGGGCCAGCTGTATAGGATAAGTTAACTCACTCATGAACCTGTAGAACACAAACCAAAACCAAGCCATGGAATTGCAGCAAATTTACTAAGCGGATATCAAGCTCAATGGTTGAGGGCAGTCTAGATTTCAAGATCTGAATGCACTTAGACTGCAACTTCAGCTTGCACTCTCGGGGCTTGTGCATGTGCGACGATCGAGAATCAATCTTTCAAGCGTCTCAAATAGGGATGGCAAATTACCCACCCATGGGTAATTATACCCAAACTCAAGTAGACCCATTGATAATGGGTTGGGTATGGGTGAAGTGCATATGGATTTGGGGGTTTATAGATGGGTTTGGGTTTGAGGCTTCCATAATCTAAATGGGTATGGGTTGGATATGGATATCCATTTACTTGAGGGTGTTTTAACTACACATGCAAAAATTGGACCTATTTGCAAAAATTGAAAAGTTTAGGTACCAAAATGTAAGACCAAAAAAATTTAGGTACCAAAACGTAATTTTCCATCGATATTTTGAGGACTTATATGCAAAAAAAATTAAATTTAGATACTAAATATGCATGTCTATTAAGTTTGGGTACCAAACTGTAATTTGTATTTGGGCATGGGTACAAACCCAAATCCATTTGATATAAACCCAACTCAACCCAAAGTAAATGGGTATGGGTACAAACCCATCAAGCTCTACTCATATCCATCTATTTGGATTTCATACCCAATCCAATTGAGTTGGATAGTAAGAAACCCTTGGGTATGGGCAAAGTTGCCATCCCTAGTCGCAAAGTTTCACAGCACATAGTCCAGGAACCAACTCCCTGTATGGGTAGCTGCAATACCAGCAAACCCGCTAACCTCCACCACTTTGATGCTCTCCTCCATGTCACTCCCACCCCAAATGCGAATAGCTGCCTATGTATGTCCTCCATGGACGATTTCATATTAGTATAAGCCAAGTTGGTCAACACGCGGGTTGAACCTGACCCGGCCAAGATAGTAGATCAAGGGTTAATGGGTCACCCGTTTTAGCTCGGAAATATAAAAATATAAAAAAAGTCATTGTATTGTACTTATTCTGATAAATTTTGTCAAATCTCATCTAACATATGAGAAATAACATATGACATTACACCAAAACAACATGTCGTACTTAGATCCACTATATAGTGAAAATTCACAAACACTTATATAATATCAATATTCAAATGTTCAACGGAGGATTCCACATATTGAGTTAGGCGAAAAGAAAAATCGGAAAATAGGCGCATTTCGCAAACCAAAAAAAAATGACACAATTTGACCTCCAACCCAATACCTTGTAGCGGTCGACCCGACAGATACATACGGTCCGTTTTTCTCATGGGGTAAAGATCAAAGTACGTCGACCTACGAGTTGACAACCTTGGTATAAGCACATCCCACTTCCCCCAGCATATTGAGTTTCTGGCTTAGGTGTAATTTATTCATTTAATCCATCATTACTTTGCAGCTGTCCATCATTACTTTGCAGCTGTCCTGCAAACCCTCCAGAAGAGCCACCTCCTCTGTTCTTGCTCTTAACTCTTAAAGCTTAAAGCAATCAACTATGACATGATTGTCTTTCTAGTCGTATTTCCAAAAACAAGTTTCCTTTCATTTGCCTTGTTACGATGACGTTCTAAGAAGTGCCCCTAAATCCACCATAGGTCTCCGAAGTTGCATTAGTAGCCAATTGCCTATCATGTTGAATGACATAATGGAACGTAATTTCCATATGGGGAGAAGTGGGTTCATCATAATTAAATTGGTCCTAATACCCTCATATACATCATTCAGATCTTTGAGTAACACACGCCACATATTCATTGTCCATATATTTCTTGATTGTCGCTTCAATTGCACTTGGTAAAGCTTTATTATGAATTTCTCCACACAAACAACCAAGGATAGGAAAAATTTGTTCAAATCTTCCCAATAGCTTTTTAGTTATTTATAAAATTCATTCACATATCTATTTCTCTGTTCCCAAGTTGGGTAAGATTCATCGAGTGGGTCTGGAGCTGGTATGCTGTCATTGATGAAGCACAACTTCTATTCTTGATTTTGAGAGTAACTCCTATTGTCCTGCTCCATTGGTTGTAGTTGTTAAGTTCTAGTGAGGTTGATCGAGAAAACCAAGCTTCATTTGGGTTTGATTGGTGACTAGTGGTGGTGGAAGTGTGCTCGGGACAGTGGTAAAGTAAGTAGTTGTGATATAGGCTTGACCTCCAGTGTCTATAGATTCATCCACGACAAATGGAGTTTGATAGGAAGGAAGAATGGTAATTGAAAATCCTATTTCATAAAATTAGACTCTGATATCATATGCAATTTGACAAAACACGCAAACAAATTGAAGAGAAACACGCAAAAATCATCGACGATCAATCAAACACATTGACCATGAGGGCCAGCTGTATAGGATAAGGTAACTCACTTATCCTATCCTACCATACATATAAGGAGATTCTTGCTCAGCACATACCCAATTAAAATTTTCCTGGCCTCCCCGCAAAGCAAGGAAGCCCTTATGAGTCTTTTGGCATCTCAATTTTTCGTACATGTTACTATGGGTAACTCACACAACTGGACATATCAATTGGGTTTTCCGTTTCCTTTTCCACAGCCCACAAAATTATAACTTATAATTGCAAATCAACATAAATTAATACGTCATTAGTTTATTTGGACATAAACTTATGATTTCTTTGACCATTGTTATACGTGTTATACATATAGAATAAATAAACAGAAAAATAAAAACAATTTTATCAAGAGTTTCAAATGCATTTAACACTTATACACATGTATTATAAGGAGATTAAATATTCAAGTATAAAAAAAATGAAGTTCCATATGGTTTTCGATTTAACAATTCAAGAATATGATCATTTTTCATTCGGTGATAAACTTATATGTTTAGCTCGAGTGTAAACGAATTTGGTCTAAAATTTAATTTCTAATATCATTGCTTTCTTCTCAAAGCAGTGGCGGACCCAGAAATGTAATCAAGGGTATTCAATCATAGATCAAAATCATTAAGGATTGTCAAATAATCTTACATTTGAATACTATAATCACTAAAACAAAATTTTACAGTGATTTTGGTTTCCCAAATTGGATCCAAGGTTTGTCAATGACAACCCTTTCACCCACTTGGGTCCGCCCATGTCTCAAAGAATGATAATTGTTAGACAAAAACAATGATAATTGCCTGCGTATTTCGAAAACATTTATTAGCAAGTTTGAGCCTCTAGGGTTTTCAGATTGTAATAAGTGAATAAATATTTTTACACTTAGTTATCAGACAAAAATGTCATATTTGGTCACTGAGATTACTAAATTGTTCCATGTTTAGTCACTAGAAAAATTTAATATCAATTTTGGTCACTCGAAATACTGAAACAGGCCACATTTGGTCACCCTCCTGTAGCCTCTGTCCAACTCCAGTCACTCGAAATATTGAAACATGTCACATTTAGTCACTCTCCCGTTAGTTTCAATCCAACTCCATTAATGGAGTTAGACGGAAACTAACGGGAGAGTGACTAAATGTTACCAGTTTCAGTAATTCGAGTGACCAAAATTGATATTAAACTTTTCTATTGACTAAACATGATACGATTTAGTAATCTCAATGACTAAATGAGGCATTTACCCTATTAAAGTTCTAAGTTTCAATTCAAGTAGAAGAGATGTATTGTGAAAATAAATCAATGAAGCAGAATTGTTGCTAATTTCAATAAATTCTTAATAAGGCTATTTTTTTATAGAAGGCTATTAATACTATGCATCTTAAATTATTTATTTTTTATCATAACAAATACTAAAGCTTTTATTGCTCTTCTAAATAATGAATCTCAATTATTAACATTTTTCATATTTAAGATCCAACTACCCAATCAACTACTACCATTTTTCACATTTATGATCCAAAACTCGAGTTGTGAATACTACCAAATATGAATTTGTTGTCTTGGATCATCAAGAATTTAGGATTTCTGAGAATTACTGTTGAAAATCTATCAAAAAAATAGTTGAAGAATGAATCGCCAATTTGAATCACAAATTAACAATTCCATAAGCAAATTAACAATTTTGAACATAATTATTGATGGAAAAAAATGAATCTCAAACAAAAGTTGAAACTATAATGAGACAGATTCTTTTGTTGTGAAGCACCTCTCAATGATGAATATAGACATATTGTGGAGTTGATGATGAAGATGTTGATGGTTAAGAGGTGATATCGATTATTTTGAAACACCTATATGCTTAATTCAACCAGAATTAATATAGATGGCTCTGATTACAATGTTGGTGATTCTTATGATGGATGCACATTTTCTATTCTCGAAGAACTTAATAATTTGATTTTCTTATAGATAGCTTGCGATTTGATAATTATTTGTTAATTCGCATGACATTAACATATAATCATAGCACGAATATAAGAGAAGTGGAGATTATTGAAATTTAAACTTTAAAACTTTGTTAATTAATGTCATCATATTGCAACCGGCCAACGGACCGGGATACAACCTAGTGAACATGTAAAACACAAACAACCAAAACCAAGCCATGGAATAGCAGTAAATTAACTAACGGGGATAACAAGCTCAACGGTTGAGGGCAGTCTAGATTTCAACATCTGAATGCACGCGACTGCAACTTCAGCTTGCACTCTCGGGGCGTTAAATATGCGTCCAGTACTAGTGCATGTGCGACTATCGAGAATCAATTTCTCAAGCGTCACAAAGTTCCGCAGCGCATAGTCCAGGAACCAACGCCCTGTATAGGTAGCTGCGCTACCAGCAAACCCACTAACCTCCACCACTTTGATGCTCTCCCTGTGCATCTCCTCCATCTCACTCCCACCCCAAATGCGGCAGGAGCTATCCTTTTCTTCGTCGGTGTCCATCTGCATTACATACAGTTACCAGGTTTGACATTACATTTTCAACTTCTTGCAACATCATAACCAGCGCATTTGAAAATGTGTACTAGAAGAAAGAGTAAAACTGAAGAACCAAACTTATCAGAACATGAGATAAACTAGCAAGTTCAAACTTCATAATTGATTGATGATGAATTGAGGTAAAATGAGATAGCATACCCGAACCGACAGTTGGTACAATGAAGGACAAGCATTTATCACGGGGAGCAGACCACGAATCTCGTTCCTATCAGAACCGAGCACATAAACAGTCAGCTGCTTAAGGGACGTCAACTCCTCAATCGACCTGGGAAACTTGGCTTTACGCTGCACCAATAGAAAGACTTCATTCAGATCACATCATAGTAATTATGTATAAGAGGGGGTTCAGTCATATTATGATGATTATTTACTTACCGCGTCAAACATAAAAGTGAGGGTCTCCAGCCGTGCAAACTTTGCTCGAGGAAGGAAAACAGGACCTGGATCAATCATGTTGTACAAGTCCAATCCGGTAAGCGACGATATATTTTCCATTCGAAGATCAATGCCATCTGGAAACCGACCATCCAACTTGAAGTAGGTGAGATTAGGCGCATCGATTTCAATCTCCTTTAGATTCTTACAATGGACTACTTCCAAGTGCTTCAACGGCAGTGGTGACGACAAGCCAGCAGCAACTTCAAACCTTACTAAACCATGGGAATGTTGGACGGCTAACTTCTCCAGTAGAGGACAATTGCAAAGGAAATGCTCAAGGATCTCATCGCTCACATCAACGAAAGCCAAACACAAGGACTGAAGGTACCGAATATCCGATAAACCCTCAGGGGTTTTCATATGTTTGAAACAGCGTTCCGAGAAAATATAGCACCCTGAAGCATCCCAACTGGTATCACCATACCGGTCAAAGTCCAGCTTGAGCTTCTGAACTCTTTTTGAGATTGCAAAGTCCAACCACCTATCGATGTCACCATTGGCATTGGATTCATTATGAATGTTGAAACAGGCGTGAAAGTTGTTCACTTTCCGACCCTGGTAGTGTGTCAAGACCCTATTAACCCATTCAATGTACCTCCACCTTTCGAAAAGCACGGGCTCCATATCCCCTGAATTCCAATAATTTTCCCAGATGCACTGCCTCATCTTTGGAACGTCGAAGTCCAAGTTTGGAACAAATTTCCACAAATCAACCCAAGTCACGGAGAGGATTGATGTCCTAGCTGCTTCTTTTAAGGTCAGGCGGGACAAAATCTCCACAAGAAGCGCATGGGGCAATGTGCTTATATGATCCATGGAAATAGCTTCCTCTTTAACCTATATGCACAGTAGAAATAGACAGCCAATGAGCGCAGGAAACCTCAACAAAGCTTTTGATTTACATAATAAGCAAACGGGACGGTAATTATCATGATGGAAAACAGAAGCAGCAGATCCATACCTTCTCCGAGCTACAAACGTTGTTGGGTGGATCAAATCTGTACATCACGCAGATGATATGAAAAGCTAGAAACTTTCAACAAGGATCGCTCCGATTTCCACCTACAAATTAAATCAACGGGTAAGAGACACAGAATCTTAGGCAAACAAGAGAAGGCATCAGTTTCCTTTACTACAAGGAAGAAGAAATAAACAAAACAGAAGGAATGAATGAATGAATGTCGAACACAATTCTGTTTGAACTTCAAACAGCCCCTCCAGAAGGAAGGAACTGGAGACAGGGACTCCATACAAACAGAGCCACAGTAAAGACAAGTGCTTTAACCTCCAAATCGAATAAAATGATGCAAGAAAGCAGTGAATTTTCTCAAGGAAGACTCGCAGAAAGACTTGCCTCTCGCTGACCCGAGCCGCTAAATCCTTCGATGGAGCAGATCCCACAGTCCCTCACTTAGATAATATATAGGAAGTCGTAGAGCGGTAGAGTTGAATGGTTCCCGTTTGTGAATCTGCTTTTTTCCATATCTTATCTGGAGAAGGATTCGCTCTCACTACCGCCGCCGCCCGCCTAGCTCTGTGCTTTCAACTTTCCCTCTCTCCTCTGCCATCTCCCTAGATTTGTCATGTATGAATTATTATACAAACCTGCTTCGGAGCTCATAGATTAGAAGGTCAACTGGCTGAATCGCCAAAATCAGAGTCAGGCTAACAAGTTAATTAAGAGGACGCCATTAACCCATTGGACTGTCTGATTCCAGCCCACATTTAAATGGACTAGACCATGGGCTATTTCATTACCCATCCACCAATTTCCAGCCCACGATCTGACCGACAGCTTCAATTTGTCTAGGATGGTAATTAGGGATGGCAATGGGTTGAGTTTTGTCAAACTCAATCTCATTGTTTATTCGTAAAATAATTCGGGGTAAAACTTAATGGGTTAGGAAAACACAAATCCAACCTAACTCACTGGGTATCTATGGGTTCATGGGTACCTATGAATTTTTGTGGTAAAAAAATTTACAATAATAAGTGTCTATCAAAATAAAAGTAAAACATCAACTTCTCCATACAATTTATCTATACATAAAACATTGGTCTATAAAATTCAAACAAATCACAAATTATCCATACAAATTGTTAATTAGATTGGGAGAAATTAGAATTAGGGTAGGGTTTGGAGAGAGTAGGCGACAGAATATGTGTGAGCGGGTATTCATGGGTCGTGTACCTCTAAACCCAAACCCAACCCAACCGGGTGAAAGTGTAACGCGCTTAAACCCAAACCCGGGCCGGTATCCAAAACACGAGTTGGGGGAAATTAGGTCCCATTCGGCGGGAGGATTGGTTCTTCTGTCTCCTACAGGGGTGATCAGTATGGCCACGGGTGTGCAAATTGCGGGTATTGATGATCCGATGGTTGTGGAACTGTTGGTGCTTCGGGAGGCTATGCTTTGGTGTCAGGGATTGGGCCTTACTGATGTTCGTTTTGAAGGCGACGCCAAGGTCATTATTGACAAACTCAATCGGGGGGATCATGGAGATAACAGGATGGGTGCTGTTCTTGAAGAAATTGCTAATTGGCTCCATGTCCTGCCTAGGTTTAGCATTCGGTTTGTAGGTCGGCATAGTAATAAGGTAGCCCATTTGGTGGCTAGAAAAGCCCTTTCTTTGTACCCGGCCATGAGTCGTTCTTTTGATTTTCATACCTGGCTGTCTTCCAGGGTGTAACTGCCTATTTTTTGAATCAATATATGATTATCTTTTGTCAAAAAAAAAAAGATTGGGGGAAATTAGAATTAGGGTAGGGTTTGGAGAGAGTAGGCGACAGAATATGTGTGAGCGGGTATTCATGGGTCGGGTACCTCTAAACCCAAACCCAACCCAATCGGGTGAAAGTATAACGAGTTTAAACCCTACCATTGAGTTCGGGTTTTGTTGTCATCCCTAATGGTGATGGTAGGGGTGAATAGGTGGGTGACCCACAGATCCAGGGGCGGAGCTAGGTGAGGGCTTAGGGCCCCCCCCCCCCCCCAGAATTTTAGAACTTACGTATAATTTGTACGAAATTTGAAAAGTTACGTATAAACATAACAATATTTATAAATACTTACGCGTGCAAAATTTGGTCACATGTACATGCCAGTCTAACGGTGAAGTCTTAACTCTGCATCTCAATTGACCCGAGTTTTTTTTGTTTGTTTGTTTGACAATGGCAGTTTCATTAAAACTGAGAAGTGTACAAAGTGGGTAAAAACCCAGAGGAAAGACAACATACAAAACCAACAAAGAAGGAGAAAAGCCCAAACACACAGGCCCAAAAATAAGGGAAAAAATCCAAAAGTACCACTGTTTAAAAAAAAATTCCAAAAATACCACCCAACCCCAAAAAATTCCAAAAATACCACCCTTTTTCAAAAACGCCACCCCACCCTGCTGTTTACACTAAAACCGTTTGTCCGGGGCGCGGTATTCTATGCAAACCGCGGGCCTAGGGGGCGGTTATAAAAAAAAATTGGACCAAACCGCTGGGTGGGGTGGCAGTTTGGCCTAAAACCGCCACCCCACCCAGCGGTTTGGTCCAATTTTTTTTTTTTCCGATCAACTCCTAACTTCGGCCGAAACTTCAAACGAACGTAACTTTGCACTCGGGTATCCGATCGTAGTGAATGTTTTTTCCATTTCGCATAACTTTTCAAGATCTACAACTTTTACTAGGATGAAATTTTTAAAACAGGAACTATTTGTGGATATACGAGACCTTGGGAATAACCTTACCTTTACTTTTCACAAATCCATGTACATTTTGAAATTATGATTATATTAATAGTTGTAGATCTTGAAAAGTTATGTGGAATCAAAAAAAATTCATGACATTCGTATTTTGGAGCACAAAGTTATGGCCGCCCAAAGTTTGACGAAATCAAAAAAGGCTCGTTCGGGGTGGCAAATGACGTTTTTTCGAGACGAAGGTGGGACCCGGCGGTTTACGGCTTGCAAGATCTCAAAAAGTTATTCGGATTCAAAAAATGGAGGCCGCAAACTTTTTGAGATCTTGCAAGCCGCATACCGCTGGTTCTCGCCTTTCGTCAAACTTTGGGCGGCCATAACTTTGTGCTCCAAAATCCGAATGTTATGAATTTTTTTTGAGTCCTCATAACTTTTCAAAATCTATAACTTTTAATATAATCATAGTTTCAAAATGTACATGGATTTGTGAAAAGTAAAGGTAAAGTTATTCTCAAGGTCCCGTATATCCACAAATAGTTCCTTTTTGAAAATTTTATCCTAGTAAAAGTTATAGATCTTGAAAAGTTATGCGAAATGAAAAAAAATCGCTACGATCGGATACCCGAGTGCAAAGTTACGTTCGTTTGAAGTTTCGACCGAAGTTAGGAGTTTATCGGAAAAAAAAAAAAATTGGACCAAACCGCTGGGTGGGGTGGCGGTTTTGGGCCAAACCGCCACCCCACCCACCGGTTTGGTCCAAATTTTTTTTTATAACCGCCCTCTAGGCCCGCGGTTTGCATAGAAAACCGCACCCCCGACAAGCGGTTTTCGTGTAAACCGCAGGGCGGGGTGGCGGTTTTTGAAAAATGTGGTATTTTTGGAATTTTTTGGGGTTGGATGATATTTTTTGAATTCTTTTTTTAAACAGTGGTATTTGTGGAAAAAAATCCAAAAATAAGTGTCCAAAGACCAAAACACATTAGCCCACAAACACCCACAAAATAGCCCACACCAGGACAAAACCCCAACACTAGCTGGTTCCATCTTCTATGTGTAGCCGCCGTCGTTGGTAACAACATCATCCACCGAACACCATCCCAACCCAGCACCAGATAGAGAGAACCAACTCCACTGTAAGCGAAATGAGGCTGGAATGCAAAAGCTTACCATCCCAGATGCGGATCGAAGCAAGACGAGCACAACAGAACCAATACTCGCCTCCCAACCTTACCTCATCGGACCAGAACGTCTTCAGATGCTCCCAGAAGACCATGCACGAGCCGATCTTCAGATAAAATGGGCGTCCGACGATAAAACACATATATCGAGTCTCTGTCTTCAGATCTCCCCACCACGTCCGAGCCGATTCACAAGGGAAGGCTACTAGCATCTCCGAAACGCCGAGATCAGCTGGGCGAAGCAATGAGGTAGACGAGAGGCGAGAAGACGAGAAGGCAAGCCGATCTTAAGAACCAAAACCAGCCACCCTTTGCCACCACGAACAAAAGATCTCTATATTTGAAGAATCAGAACAGAGCTAGAAGACAATCATCTCTAGAAGAGAGATCGAAGGAGGAAATCCAAAAGAGGATCTGAAAAAGAAAAGCAAAAAGAAGGAAATAGAGCGATTGAAAAGATGGAGCGGAGGGCTGCCACCGGTCGCCGGAGAGACGCCGGCAGCAGCCCCCGGAAGGGACTTGGAAAGAAAAGTTTAGGGAGAAGTCAGAGTAGAATGGAAGAGAGAGGTGTCAAGTGGGCGGGGTTGTTTAATTGACCCGAGTTCAATCCCTGTAAGGTGCTGGTTTTAATTTTTTTTACTGTGTACTTTTTCTTTAAAAAAGCTTCTCCTATTGATAACCATTCATGTTTCTTTTTGTGTTTTCATTTACCACAGAAATAATTTTATTTTTATATTTCCTTATAAGTTCAGTTATTGATTTTAGATTATACCAATTTAGTTCTTCAACTTTTGAATTCTTATTTATTGTGTTATTAATTGACTTCAAACATTAATATATACATATATTTATTTTCCCGTCATAAAGATATTGAAGGACGTAGTATACATTGGAATGTATGATTTATTTTTTGTTCATATAATTACCCTTATTTGGAACATAATAACAGAGATTTTTTTTTACATATAATTTAATAACGTGATCATATAATTCACATTTCCCTACTAGTAAACCAAACAAATTTTGGCACCCCCGAACATCAAATCCTAGCTCCGCCCCGGCGCCCCCGCACAGATCCACCCAAAACCACCCGCAATCGACCCACCCATTATCATGTGGGTGGTTCATATGGGTGGAT